CAAATATGGGATATCTTGATAAACCGAGCAGATATTTGATGTTTACACAACTACTTTCTCGCCTGAAAATATGTTAAAAGTTTATTTTGTGACCCAGAAAGATTAGTATGAGTAATTTTAAAACTTAGTAGCGGCCGCCATTGCTGGAAACTGGAGTTTGGCTGGGCCGCGCTATGAATTCTGGGATATGGTAGTAATTTGGACAGCCTTCGGCGCGTCGCTGTGACGTAATCGGTCTACAAATGCGGCCTCAGGAGGATGCAGCCCATGAATTGTATAATATAATCGCAGTATAATCGCAGCCTTTGCGGTTAGAAAATTGCACTTGATCATGTCGCGATATTATCGCAAATGCGATATATCGTTCAGCCCTAGTCACTGCTTACAGATCTCTACTGAAACTCAAACACCTATTACTGGTTCCACCTATTTCCTGACCAGGCTCCGGATCACGGGGGCCTCCCTCTTCCCAGCCAGCTTCTCCAACTCATTCCAAGCCATCTGAGACGTAATCTCTCCAGTGTGCCCCAAGTCTGCCCTGGAGGCTTCTCCTGGTAGGACATGCCTGGAACACCTCACCCAGGAGCCATCCTGGCCAGATGCCCGAATATCTCAACTTGCTCCTTGAGGAGCTCTGAGACGCTCCTGAATAACCAAGCTCCTCACCCTCCCTCTGACGCAGAGTCCAGACACCGTTTGGACGACGCTTGTTTTCTCCGCCTTCATCTGTGATCTCACTCACTCAGTTTCTGCCCACAGCTCATGAATATCAAACAATAAGAGATGTACCAAGCTGTGGTCTACACTCACTCATTAACACTAATCTCTAATCAGCCAATGACATGGCAGCAGCTCAGTGTATTTATGCATGTAGAGATGGTGACGACAATCAGCCGGGGGTCAAACTGAGCATCAGAAAATTGAGGAAGAAAAGTGATTTAAGAAACTTTTAGTGTCCTATTTCAGAAACTGCTGATTGGCTGGTTTTTCCCACACAGACATCTCAGAGTTTACAAAGAAGTAGAGCAGGGCGATATGACCAAAAATACTTACAACGATGTACATTTGAAAATTTGCGATAACAATATAACGGACGATATAATTGATGCGAGACAAAATACTGTACAACTCCACAACTTTACTAGTGCAAAAAAACCCCATGAATGTATTTTCACGTAAACAAGCAGCTGTTTTTATGTGTATATATAACATTTTAACAGTGCAAATGCAAATTCCTTGCTGACAGTTTAACCAAAAGGCAAATGGGCTGACATATGCTGAGCATAACCATGTATAATAACCACCAAAGGTAAAAAGAGGAGCTTTGAAACATGGAACTGCAGTAAAAAACAGTCAGATACGTCTAACTTGACTCAACTCATTCTTCACTTTTGTACCATTGACTCATAATGCTGAATTCTCTCACAGCTGCTCTGTTCCCATGTTCTACTGCATGACCGATAGCCTTGAGTTTAAAATCCGCTTCATGCGCACGTCTCTTAACAGCTGCCATTTTGGGTCCTTATACACAAACAATACGGTAACGTCATGTTGAAGCACGGTACGCATCACTCCGCGAGGCTCAGCCTACGATAGCCGTAATGCTCCGACAGTCCATCAAGCGGTGCAGCTTCGCAGCTTAGCAAAGTCGTACTGAAACATTTTTTGACAGACTTTTGAGTGCCGGACGAAAGCTAAACCAGCTCCACCACTGAAGTTGCAGCATTTTTACAAACCAGTTCTGGTTCATCCGTTTCATTCAGCGATCTGCTTTCACTCTTCTCATTCTCCGTCACCGCCATGCTTTTTCTGCCATGTGTTTATGAAAACACTGCACATGCGCCTTTTCCCTCATATTCTATCACAATATTTCATTTTCTTATCATTGCCTAACATTATACCGGTGTTACCGTGAATGGTATGATACGGCCCAGCCCTACAAAGGAGGTCTGAAAAAGAGAAACTATCCGGAGAGCAGCAGTTCTCTGAGAGGAAGTACCTTCTTTGTGTCAGAGGAGAACGGCAGAACTCTGAGACAGGACGACAGCAGTAACTAAAATCGCTGCTCGTCACATCCAAAGTGATCAGAAGAGCATCTCTGAATGGGCGGCATGCTAAAGCCTGAAGCAGAAGACCACAGCGGGTACCACCGCTGTCAGAACGGACAAGACACCGAGGCTACAGTTTTCAGTCTCACTAAAACTAAAACACAAGAAGGAAAAACGTTTCCGGGTATGATCAGTCTCGAGGTCAGAGCAACCATGGAAACATGGATCCATCCTGCCGGCATCGGCAGCTCAGCCTGCCGCTGGTGTAACGCTGCTGGGAAATCGTCTCAGGTGACTATTACTGTTCTGCATCTCTGTGTCAGTGAGAGGACGAATAGAAACATTCGCTGACACGAATCAGGAGCAAACATGTGACCTCAAATCGCTTTCTGACTTTAAAGCCACAATTTTAGACAAGTGGAGGCTCCACCAGCTGTTCAGATACCACATCACCGTCATCTTCCATTAGTACCATTCTCACACTGCTTTAATACAAACATGTGATGACACAGACATGATGCAGCACCGATATCGATCCATGAAACGCAGATAAGGAAACAGAATGATTCCTTTGACTTTTGATTGGCCAACAGTAAATACTTTAACTGGTAGTTTATTAGTTTTATATTTTAAGTAACACATTTCAGGTTCAGGCAGGGAGGAGTGCAGCGTGCTGTCAGCATACTTATCAGAATAAAACAGCAGCATGTTCTAATCTGGTTTATCTTGTTCGACGTGGAAGATGGTTTTCTCCTCTGTAACAGTCACTGCATTACACTGATATGATATCAGAGCGACAATGAGCGAGAACAGCGTCACACAGTTTGGATATAATAGTAACAGGAACAAGTACAACAAAATGTTGTTTTTGCTCAACTTTCAGCTTTAATGTGTGACATCATCCAGCTTTTAGATTCTTAAAGAGCCGGATGTGCCTCGTGTCTGAGACGCTGTTACACCAGGACAGGTCTGGTTTCTACTGACCTCCCAACCTGCTGTCAGACTCGCGACATCCTTCACGAGCTCCGTGTTCACAGATTTACCCTCAAACTGAAGAATCGAGCTCAGTGAAGCCGTTTACATTTCACAGCTCTACTATCGAGCCGTCACACCTCCGTGGACCCTTAAAGTAAACCACTGACAGCAGGCAAACTTACATCAGTACAGCCAACGCATAGCCCAGAGGCGCAGGTTTGACACCAAAGGGGGGCGAAAGCTGAGGATGACGCCGGAAGTGACCCCGTGACTCTCGGCCATGTTGGCTCAGGCTGTCCGCGCGGACACCCGCGTGCAAGACCGCTGTGGCACAACTCCTCGCTAGCTTTTCGGCACGTGCAGGTTTTACACACCTGTGAGGAGCAGCTTCCGCTGCAGCTGCCGGTCGAGCTCCTCCTCGTACTGCACGAAGGTTTTCTCCACCTCGCTGAAGATTTCCTCCGCGGCTGCCGTCAGCCTCCGCTGGATAAAGTCCTTCAGATACTCAAGAGTACACATGACTACTGCAGTAACCCGAGTACTGAGCGGGGGAATACTACACCGTGCTCCGGCTCGGTCCGCGCCTCAGGAGAGCCGCTGCTGCAAACCTGCTTCTTCTACGCATGCGCCCAAAGGGTTCTTCCTCTCCCGGAGTTTCACAATAAAAGCCCTGTACAGACGAAAAGCAACTTAGTGAAATGTCACAGAGACACAGAAGAAAATCGAAAAAAGGAAAAATGAGGATTTCTGCACAAAATAATAATAAATAAAGAACCATATTTTCATGTTTGTTCTTGTGTATTTCTTTTATTTGTAGGTCACCACAAGAAAGAGGAAGGATGTACCCGACTGGAGTCTCAACACACATTAAATACATAAAAGTTTAATATAAGTGTAGTGTCCATTTGAACTCCTTACAGTTCTCATGTTATTTATATTTAAAAGGAGCGCACCCAGGACACAAGAGTCAAACCACTTTGTTCACTCCTTTATTTTCCACACAAACCTTCACAATAAATTTCATGAAATAATCACAAATAAATTATTCTCAAATATCAAAATTCAGAATATGTATTAAAGTATGTCACCTCAGTAAAAATGTGACTGTAAAGGACACTTACAGGAGTATAAAGTTACAGATGTGTAAAGTTGTCTGGAGCTCGCTCTTCTTCACAGCGTCGTGTCACTCGTTCCACTTCCACCACAGCTCTTCTGCTGGGTTCAGCTGTGGACTCGGCCTGTGCCGTCGCAGACCTGAGTTGTGCTGCGTGCTCTTTCTATAGAGAGGAGGCTTTCTCCTGCAATTGTGATGTCATGAACTTTAACCTTTGACATGCTAACTGAAGCCTGTAGAGACTGAGATGGAGCTTTTGTTCCAGTTTCTCTGAGAGCTGGATGGATTGAATCTGCTGGGATTCTCCAGCAGAGAAGGACTGGGTGAGAGAGGGAGGTCGGGGTGAGAGAGGGAGGTCTGGGTGAGAGAGGGAGGTCTGGGGGAGAGGTGGGCTCCTTTAGGTTAAGGGAAGAGAAACTTGAGCTTTTTAAAAACACCTCAGTGTTTCTGCTGGATTCTAATGTTGTTATTTACACACAGACCAAGAAAACGTCCAAACACATGAGCCGCTCGCACTGCTCAGTCTTTACACTCATTTATTTCCCAGAACACTAACTCTAACTCAGTGACAGATGTCGGTGATCCCGCTTGGAGAACTAAAGAGAAACAAACAGGCTAAAAGACGGGGCTCACACCGAGCCACCGAGACTTCATGAAAACATGAAAGATTCACGTTTTTCTGCCTTGAACTGTTGGTGCTGTTTCCCTCAGACTGAAAACAGATAGTAACAGACTCGTTTCACACGAGGCTGCTGCTGCAGCGCGGTCCAGTCGATGTGTCCACACGTTTTCTGCCCATCGGTGCTTCAGGACGACCACGTCTCAGCTGCGTGGTGTAGCTGCCACAGTCACGGCCTCTCAGCTGCGTGGTTCTCACGTGGATTTTAAGGACATGCTGTAACTTTTCTTCCACATATTGCAGCTCTGTGCAAAATGTGCTTTGTGCCTTTTAAGTGATGAGAACTCAGAGAACCTGGTCCCACAGCTCTTGCAAACATAAGGCTTCTCCCCTGTGTGAGACCTCATGTGGCGTAACAGATTACTGCCTCGATTGAAAGACTTCCCGCACGTTTCGCAGGAATAGGGCTTCTCACTCGTGTGGATTTTTGTGTGGGATAATAAATTACTGCGCCGATTGAAAGACTTGCCGCACGTTGGGCAACAAAACTGCTTCCTTCCTTCCTCACTTTCCTCATATGTGGCAGTCACCATGAAGGCATCAGGCCCCCGAGAGAAGAGCTGCTCCATGTCTGGTTCACTGTGCTCTCCTTCCTCAGCAACAGTCACCATGAAGGTATCCGTCTCCTCCTTCAGTCCCAGCTGCTCTCGCTCCTGACTGCTGCACAGTTCCTCCTCTTCCTCTTTAATCTGTGGAGCTTCTGGTTCCTCCTGCTCCACACTGGAGCTCCTCTCCTGGTTCCAGAGCTGCTGCTCAGGGAGAACCTCCTCCTCCTTACCTACAGGCTGCTGTGGGACATCTAAACAAAGTTGCACAAGAAATAAGTTAACAGTATGATGATAGTAAAACCCACAGAGATCCTGGTGAGGGTTAGTGAACTCTGTGGTTCACTCACACACACGCAAAGGTCAGGAGCATCAGATTTAACTTCCAGTTTTTAAATATGAGACATAAAAAAAGAAAGAATGGCTTCAAGAGGTTCATAACTAAAAACAAAGATTTCCTGTTGGGGAGAAGTTTCAGCTTTATAGGTGTATAACAAATCCAGCCATCCATTAAGTTCCTCTGACTCATCCAAGCCTGGGTCAGAGGGGTCTCAGCAGACGTGCCCTCCCTGCAGAAGGTGAGGAGGAAACAAAGGCTGATGATCTGACAGCTCTGTCTCCCAGCAGGCCGTGGACAGAGTTTCATTCCTGCTTATTGGATTCTACAACTAACTTCTCATAACTGGAGGAGTCGGTTTTGTTGTGTGGAGGCAAAAACAAAGTGATGTTATGTGGTGTGTATATTATGTTAGAAATATGTTCGTTATCATTATGACTGCAGATTATATCAACAAGGACGCTGATTGAATATTGACCGATAACTGTGGTGAAGGGGCGGGACATGCGCACTTCTTCCCACTCCTTTCCTTGTATGTTATTTTGTAAAGCTGTTTGTTTGTCTTTGCTAAATGAACTTCGGTATATTGTTTACATGTTTGGAATAAAGCGGATCCAGCCAACCACCGATCGGCTCCAGAGCTCGTGCATCAGCCAGGTGTGTTCAGGTGAGCTGATGCGCAGCCTCCCTGTTGTTGCTGAGCTCAGCTCATCAGACAGTTTCTGGCACCTGTGCAGCACATTCATGGGTGGAGCAGGTCAGTGGCTGTATCCCAATTCAGGGTCTGCAGCCTTAAAGGCCGCATTTTAAGGCCGATTACGTCACAGCGGCGCGCCGAAGGCTGTCCCAATTCAAAGGCTGCTCGAAATGCGGCCCTCAAATGCGTCCTTCATTTCCCTGAATTTTAAGGATGTGGCGGTGTAGACTTCGTGGCCCAACATATCCCAGAATGCATAGCGCGGCGGTGGGGGTGGATAATTTTGCCGAAAAAAAAGAAGAGTAAACTTTAAGTAGTGAATATTATGTCACTTATTTATGTGCAAATGTTTAATAACGAAGAACATTAAACATTGCTGTTGGTCACATGTCGGCAAAGTCATGTGACATTAGTGACGTTTGTACTAACTTGGTTTTAAAGCCTTTACTTTGAAATATACGCCGTCCAATAGCTGAGCTTAATCTTACAGAGAATGATCAAAGCTCATGTAGAAACAAACAAACAAATGCACAAAAGATTTTCTCCTTCATTTCTGTCAAACACAGCTGTATGAAACGTTTCCAGCTGTTAGTATCATGGTTGCTAGGCAACCTGGGCAGCGCAACGGAGGCTAGACCGTCCCACTTCACAAGCCTCGCACTTCCGGCCTTAGCGGCCTTTGAGCACGCGGCCCTTGAGGATCGTTGAGGCTGCAGACCCTGAATTGGGACACAGCCAGTGAGTCACGGGTACACAGCTGTGCTGCACACATTCCAAGTTTTACCACAGTTTACGTTCACTGCCGCCATCTTGGATGTGGGCTCGTGGGCTACGTTTCATAATAAAATTCCGACTCCCAGTTTGACCTCGAACGCAGCACCGCTGGCTGGATTTCCGGCACGTGCAGGTTTTACACACCTGTGAGGAGCAGCTTCCGCTGCAGCTGCCGGTGACGGTCGAGCTCCTCCTCGTACTGCACGAAGGTTTTCTCCACCTCGCTGAAGATTTCCTCCGCGGCTGCCGTCAGCCTCCGCTGGATAAAGTCCTTCAGATACTCAAGAGTACACATGACTACTGCAGTAACCCGAGTACTGAGCGGGGGAATACTACACCGTGCTCCGGCTCGGTCCGCGCCTCAGGAGAGCCGCTGCTGCAAACCTGCTTCTTCTACGCATGCGCCCAAAGGGCTTATTCGTGTTCCAGAGTTTCATAATAAAAGCCCTGTACAGACGAAAAGCAAATGTAAAATGTCTAAAATGGAGAGATTTGTGGCAGGTTGCAGGATTAAGATGAAAAACTTGCTTCATGAGTCAGAATCATCCAAAGTTTTAAAGCTAAACCAAATAAACCCGCAGAAGAAATCATTTTTGTTTTTTTTAAAAGCTTTACACTTCACACTTTACTCATCAGATAAGCTTTGTTTTTATAAAGTACATCCATCCACGAAGCAAAGAAATTATTTGAAAAATGCATTATTGCACAAAGTAGCAGTAAAAACAAAGACACATTTTCATATTTGTTCTTTATTCTCTTCATCTGTAGGGTACCATGCTGAAAAACACCTGATATTTATACACCTGATGAAAATGCGTTTAATCTTTCTGCCGTCTGGTTTAAACCCTGTGTGGTCTGGAGCTGTCGAGTCCAATAACACAGCATCCGCCCCATGATTCAGCTGAGAACACTTGCATATCCGCTCCACGGACGAGCAGGTGGATAGAGAGAGAGAGGTCCGTAAGTGGGAGAAAACTGATGGGCTACAAATGAGCTCGTGGCACAGCCACACTAAAGTTCAGGAGCACGTGAGCCACAGCGACGAATGTAAGGGTGAAAAGGTTCGTCGGACTCTGGAAGGAAAGAGAACTTATAGAAGCTGCTTGTTGAAAACTTCAGACTCCCAGTAGCTTCCCCTCCACTTCCCCACTGCTGTGACAAAATTCCACAGAGGCTGTTGTGGAAATTGACATTACCACAGGAAGCACATACAGGTACACAGACTGAATAACCAAGATTTTCTCAAAACATATCTTTAGACTCAAAAACACACGCCCACTCCCACTGCTAGTGCCACTCGATTAATTCAGTGGCGGATGTCATGGTGCACAGCAAGAGGACGTCTCCGCTGCGTGGTGCAGTAACGCTGATACAGTCACGGCCTCTCAGCTGTGTGGTTTCTCAGGAGGATTTTAAAGAAGCTTTTCTTCCACATTCAGCAGCTCCTCCTCTGTGCCTTTTAAGTGACGACGAGTCAGCGAACCTGGTCCCACAGCTCTTACAAACATAAGGCTTCTCCCCTGTGTGAGACCTCATGTGGCGTAACAGATTACTGCCTCGATTGAAAGACTTCCCGCACGTTTCGCAGGAATAGGGCTTCTCACTCGTGTGGATTTTTGTGTGGGATAATAAATTACTGCGCCGATTGAAAGACTTGCCACACGTTGGGCAACAAAACGGTTTCTCACCTCTGTGAATTCTGCTGTGGACGTACAAATCAGTTCTTCGATTAAAACCTTTCCCACATGTTTGGCAAGAATACGGCTTTTCATCTGCGTGGATAAACATGTGCATGTTAAACGTTGACAATTTAAAAAATCTCTTCCCACAGATGTTGCACAGATAGGGCTTCTCGCCGGTGTGCACTCTCGTGTGGACCAGCAAAATGGACTTTTGAGCAAAACCTTTCCCACACGTTTTGCAGGAATAGGGCTTCTGGCACGTGTGGACCGCGGCGTGCCGGGTAAGGGTCGATGAGGTCAAGCATCTTTTCCCACAGGTGTTACAAACATAGGGCTTATCACCTGTGTGTGTTCTCATGTGCACAGTCAGAGCATCCTTCTGAGAAAAACCTTTCCCACACATCTCACAGGGATACGGCTTCTCGCCTGTGTGGATTCTCTGATGTCTTTGCATCCGGGATCTGTACTTGAAGCCTTTTCCACAAACGTCACATGTTACAGATTTGCTGGCCGTGTCAGAGCGACGCTGGCTCGGAGCGTCGTCTGCACCGAGACGTCTGCGATTTCTCATTTTTGGCTTTAAACCGAAACTCACAGTTAATCCTGAGTCAGCATTCTTGCTTCCTTTCTCACTTTCTTCCACCATGAAGGTCTCAGTCTCCTGGCTCACCTCCTGACAGAACTCCTCCTGTTCCTCTTTAATCTGTGGAGCTTCTGGTTCCTCCTGGTCCACACTGGAGCTCCTCTCCTGGTTCCAGAGCTGCTGCTCAGTGAGAACCTCCTCCTCCTCCTCCTCACAGACATGCTGCTGTGGGACGTCTAAACAAAGGTGCACAAGAAATAAGTTATTATTTCCACTTTTGCATAGAAGAAATAAAAATGACCGATTAGTGAAGCTGAGAAGGAGATGAAGGTAAACTAATATTCTGTTGGTATGTTTGCATTTAGTCCTATTAAGTCTGGTACAAACACCGGGGGATAAATTAGGCTCAGAACATTAATGGGATGACTTGTGCCCGGTGGCTCCACTGACAGAGATCACAGGTTTGAGACCAGGAGGAGACACAGGCCTGTCTGTGCTTCCCAATGATCCCAAGCCTGGATAAATGTGCGGGCAGCATCAGGAGGAACAGCTGGTAACATGTCACTGAATGAAAACGTGGACTCTTCTGCTGAAACTAGATCCTGACTCAGATCCACAGGAGTCACACTCGGCTGTGGTTCACTGAAATGGTTTCATGCTACACACCTGTCCTTTGTGTCTTCATCTGTGGGCTGCAGGTGACGTCCTCGTGTTCCTGCTGAGGACTGCTCTCGTTCCAGATGATGACGTCTACACTCTCCTCCTTCACTACATGCTGCTCTCCCTCCTGTTCCTTTTTAATCTGTGGAGGTTCTGGACCCTCTTGGCCACAGAGCTGCTGCTCGGGGAGAACCTCCTCCTCCCTGCTGACATGTTGCTGTGGGTCGTCTGCACATGTTTAAAGCACAAGGCAAGCAAAGGTCGAGTGCTTTATTGAAAACACCACATTAAAACATACGACTACTGCTGATTATTTTTATGTGGCCAAAGCTTCAGAGATCCATGAAGAAACCGTGGATCCGACTTGACTCTTTAAACGTGAACATTTAAAACGTGAACATTTAAAATAAGCTGACAAAGAAATGCTCATTTTTTCTCACTTTAAACGATTTGTTTTCTGTTCTTTTGTGAATACAGTCCAGATTTATGAGATCAGCGCATCACTGGATTCATTTTCATGTGTCTGTATTTCACACAGCATCCAGTCTCTACTGCAACTACCAGGACGGACACGTGACAGAAACACCGGAAGTACTGAATGAACATTAAAAGTAAAAAACGTTCTCATGAAATCAGAGAAAAAATGTGCGCGTGCCCTGTCCACCGTGACCTCCCCACAGGCTGATTCTGTTCACCGGGACAAACTTATCATCAGGTGACTTCCTCAGTCTCAGCTGACTGCAGGTTTCCAAACAAACAGCACGTGTGCACGATGACTGAAACCGTGACGTCACTTTATGATCACTAATATGCAAATTATCACGACCATCGATCAACAACCACTGATCAAAAACGTGACGTCAGTAATCTGTTAACGCCGTTTGCGTTCGCTGCTGTGTAGCGTGACGCGTTTCTTCTGCTGGTTCTTTTACCCTCAGTGTTTCTGTCACGAAGCCCGTGGAAATGATTCTAGCTTTCCCACAGAGCTCCACGTCACAGACTCACCTGTCCTGTGCAGCTTGATTTGGGGTTTCCAGGTGATATCCAGCAGTCTGCGCTGACGGTCGATCTCTTCCTCGTACTGGACGATCGTTTTTTCAAACTCCAAGAATATTTGTTCAGCAGCAGCAGTTAGTCGCTCGTTGATGAACTCTCTCAGATACTGAACTGAAGGCATCGTTGCTGCCGCAGCTCACACACTCAGCTCACACAACAACAACAGTTTTCATTGATTACTTCCGCCGACTTTCTTCTTCGTCTGATGAATTTCCAGCAGCTTGCGGACTGTGAAATGTCGTGCTGCCCTCTACAGACAGGAGTCTGTTGGACAGCCGGACTCGATCACAGCCGATCTGCTTAGACGTTTGAGACTGAAGATTAAAATAAATAATAAGTAAAAATGAAGAAATTCAAAGAAAACTTTCACCAGTTTACAACAAAACAAACTAAGAAGCAAGAAAAATTAACAAAAAAGGGCAAGAAGCACAACAACAAACTGCAAAAACAAAAAATAACAACAATAACAATAATAATAATACATTTTAATTTAAAAATGACCACTAATGGTACATTTCTGGTAGTTTAACAGTATAAAGGTTTTGGAGAAAATTGCAAAATAACAAGAAGGCAAATTTTAAATATTTGGAAAAATTATGAGAAAATGTTTGTACATGTACAAGAAAAATGGCGTCGAGTGGGCGTATTTAGGAAAAACCCCCAAAAAACAAAACGTTTTCCAAATTTGTTTCTAATTTTAATTTTGAGTTAATGTTGAGTTTGTTGATTTTTACACTGTTCTGTTTCCATGATTATCTCAGTGTTTTTGGTTCTGTGTAAATGGACTGATTCTTATATAGAGCTTTTCTACTCTCCCGGCGTGCTCAGAGTGCTGTTACAACATGGCACATTCACCCAATCACACCCATTCTCACAAGCACTGACTCTAAACAGTGTTTTTCTAACGACGTTCGCACACATTCACACTCCGATGGATGCACCAGAGAGCAACTTGGGGTTAGTATCTTGCCCAAGGATACTTGGCATGCAGACACACACACACTTTCTTGTGCAGCCTGCATTATCTGAATGTAACCGTGCTTCTTCTTTTAGTGGTTGTGAGCTTCAGCTGCTTCAGGTCTGCCTGGTTGTTGGTTCAGGTCTTTGTCTTTGTGCTGCTGATCGTCCTCCTTCTGTCTCGGGCTGTTTTTATGTCTCGGTCGCTCTGCGTTCATGTTAGGTTTAGTCTCCTCTGATTATTTCCTGTTTGACTTTGAAGTTTGATTTTCTTTCATGCAGTGTGCTGGTTTGACTTCCTGCCCTGTGATTTTCCTGATTGTTTCCACCTGTAGTTTAATAAGCTGTGTTTGAACAGCTCAGTCTTCAGTTGGCCTCTGTGCTGCCAGTTAAGCTCCACGTGTGGTGCTCATGTTTTAGATGATCATGTCTGCAATATAAACACACATTTCAATTATAAAGGGCAGTTTGTTTGAACAGGAGATTTATGTGACTGCAGCTGAAGAATAAGGAAAACCTTGTGAAGCTTTAACAGGTATTTTTACTGGACTCAGGCAGCTGAGGCCCTTTTGAGGTCAACTTTAAGCCCTTTGAATAAGCAGATGTGCTCTGGAGTGAACTTAATGTGAATTAATTTGCTTTCATGTCATGTTGTTCACAAACAAATCATTTGAGGTCATGTGATACATGCAATCTGTAACTGGACAGTAAGTAAAATGTTGCAGATTAGACTCTGAAGTCTGCACCGTGGGGATGTTTTACCTTTACTGTAACTGACTTTACTTCTGTATCTGTGCTCGTTTCTTCCCCCTGCAGTGAAATAATCAAAGACATCGAAAACTGTGGGAAGAAATGATCCTGTGATCATCTCCCTTTGTTCTGCTTCCTGCTGATTAGTAAACAAAAGCTTCTTGGAAACACACAGATGAAACTCCTCCTCATGGTTACTGCAGTGTTGCTGTTAAACTCTGATGGTTCTGGGTTTGTTGTGCTTCTCGTTACCGTCCTGGGTCCCTCTTCCTGTTTTATTTGAGCGATTGCTTCTCCTCACATGCCTGCCCTGTCTTCCCTTCCCCTCTTTGTCTTCCCTCCTGTGTGATTGCCGCCCCGCCTTGATTGTCTGCAGCTGTGCTCGGTTCCCAGCTGCGTCTCGTTGTGTAATCGGTCCCGTGTGGTCTCGTCTTTCCCTTTGTGGAGAGATGTTTTTGCTCCGTGTGCTTGTTTGTGCATTCCTCTCTGCTCCATCTTTCTCTGGGTTTCAGTCTCCTGCTCCCTTAACAAATGTATTAACTACTCAAAGTTAGCATTTAGTTTGGATCTTGATTGTTTTATTTTAATGGATTTGTTTGAAAATCTGATCACTGTCCAGACTTTATTACAAGGCTGAAACTGTTTTGTGACTCGTGATGGTTTTAGCGCAGCATATTCTGTCTTTGACAGTGTTAGAGGAATCTGGATGAATGGTTCCCAAAAAACAAATTCCCTCCTGTTTCTTGTCCTCGATGGAAAACATTAAGGTGAAGGAAAGATGCGACTGTTCTGATGCAGTGTGCCTAATGCTGTGTCAGTGGATGTTGTTGATGTGGGTCCATTGTAATGAAACTACAACATCCTGAGGACCAGATGAGATCCTCCGAGCTCACCTGTGTGCTGTTACAGGCTTTATCAGTTTACTGCTGGCAGCTCAGCCATGCAGGGCGTGTTTCTGGGCGTGTCTTCATGCAGGCTGTATTAACACATCAAGATTATTCAGATTTACTTGATGTCAAAAACAGCCCATAAAGGGAAATCAGATGTTTCTCACATTCTGGTTAATTGCACTTCCTGTCCGCTCATCTCCTGCTGCAGAGACCCAGCACAACCTCAGGAAGGACTTCAGCCATGATGAGCCTGAATGCCGGTGAACCCTAAACCCACAGATACTTTTATACAGCTCAATCTTAACAAATTAAGATTAAATTAAATCGCACAACACAACTTTACAAGAAGCAGATTTTATTTGTATCACAATATGATGATCATACTTCAGCTGAGGGTTCATCACAGCCTGTAAGGGTCAAATGAATCAGAATAAAATGGAAAACACAGGATTAACATTTTCATGATCTGAGCCGCGTCGCTTGGTTCGATCGCTCGTTTCCCGAAACGGGACGGCATCGTCTCGTTTTCCTAAAGCAGGGGTGTCGACCTCCAGGCCTCGCGGGCCGGTGTCCTGCAGGTTTTAGATCTCACCCTGGGTCAGGGTTAGTTAGGGCTAGGTTGATTAGTTAATTACCAGCCCTCATGTTAATGAGATAATTCAGCCATTTAAATCAGCTGTGTTGGATCAAGGACACGTCTAAAACCTGCAGGACAGCGGCTCTCGAGGCCTGGAGTTCGAAGGATCCTCTGCTGAAGGACGTAGTGAAGGAAGCACTGTATGACCTTTCCTTAGTATCCGGAGAATTCAGCCACCTCCGCTGATGCTGCAGAAACTTCAATGGCACTTAATGCGCAACAGGTCTGTATCACCACGCCATTTCTGGGGCCGTCCTTGCACTGGGAGCACTTTCATACTTCAGATATTCTGACCACACCTTCACGCAGACTCTGACCTTTTGCTTACAGCTCAGATATCCTCATGCGGCTGCAGACGAAAGCAAACATAATCCGGACAGAGGAAGATAAAGTTTGTACCTACGGTCAGCAACGCCTCGTAATTCTAAAACGATTCAAAGTTGACACAGTCACAGAACACCCAGGAAGACAAAATGTGTCCAAACAGCCCACATGTAGCAGAGGTAGAGAGCTATGACGTGACACACGTGATGTGTTTTACTTGTACAAAGATGAAACCGTTTTCCCTTTCAGTCCTGAACACTTCGGGACTTCTCACTTGTGCCTCTTTTTGTGAAAATTCATCGTCGAGGCGTCCCGAAATCTTTTCCCGCATATGTCGCAGGGAACGGGCTTCTCGGCGGCGTGAGTCCTCGTGTGGCGCAACAAGTCGTTACTTTGGCAGAAACTTTTGCCGCAAATTTTACAGGAATGAGGTCTCTCGCCGGTGTGGATCCTCATGTGGGACGCCAAATTATCCTTCCGACCGAACCGCCTCCCGCAGAAGCCGCAGATAAACGGCCTCTCGCCCGTGTGGGTCCTCATGTGCAGGATCACGCTGTCCTTCCGAGTGAAACCTTTCCCGCACACGTTACACGAGAACGGCTTCTCGCCCGTGTGAGCCCTCATGTGGATCTCCAGATTAAAGCGTTTACGAAAGTGTTTCCCGCATATTTTGCAGGGATACGGCTTCTCGTCCGGGTCGCTTATGTCTTGTTGCATCATCAGAGGTTCATTCCTAAAGCCTTGCATGTAAACAGGGCTGCTAAATATCAGGCCGTTGTCCACGTTGTTGTACATCGCTTGCACAGCCGATCCCGAGTCCACGTGGTTGCCTCTGTCCTGACGTCGGCTCTCGGCCACGGGAGAGCTGTGAGAGGGGAGCTGCTCCCGCTCCGGTTCTGGGTCGCTGTCGTCACTTTCCCCGTACGTAACGGTCACCATGATGGTGTCGCCGTCCTCGTCCAGAACGAGCAGCTCTCCCTCCTGACTGATGCTGAGCTCCTCCTCCTCCTCTTTGATCCGTCGAGCTGCTGGTTCCTCCTGGTTCAGGCTGGAGTCCCTCTCCTGGTTCACGAGAACCTCCTCATCCTCGGAGAGGTGTCGCGGTCGGAGGTCTGGAGGGACAGAATGACACGAATGTGATGACAGAAAAACACCGGAGAAATATTTCACTTATAATTATTAGAGCTCTGCGGGGTAACGTATGTGCAAATGATCAAATAAGATAATAGCTCAGGACTCAGAGAGCAGCTTCTGTCTCCATAATTCGGTGGAGAAACGAGCTTTAGGGCGACGCCGCCGTCTGCACTCAGCTTTGTGTTTGCACAACAAGACTGACATCACGTCTCTGCCAGCTTGTTCAGCCTGATGACCAGAAGCTGCTTCAGAAATCCGCCTTCAGCTTCCACCAGGAAACAAAGTGACTGTAAAACCAGTGACGTGTAACATCCAGGCATCCGCGAGGAGGCTTTTCAAAGTTTATTTAGCCAGCTGACGTCTAAAGATCTGTTAGGATTAACTTTGCTATGACTGCAGACATAACAAGCACACAAGCTGGGAGTGGAGCTGGGAGATCAGCCTGGGGAAAATCTTCCACTGCGGCTGCTGGAGCAGGACTACCAGCCGACTTTGAGGCCACTCAGGCGGGGGAAGCGGTTCTCAGCCCACACTCCTGACGTCAGCTGGAGAGGAAGGAATGCTTGGATGATCTCCTGAATCCCACTTTCTAGTTTTTCTTCCACTCCTCAGGAGCAGCTGCAGGGACTCTGAAATGAACCTGTTTGCATGATCGCCGACAGAAATCAAACCTCAAAGACAGCGTCTGCTCCAAACTGGCTGCTCGTGGGTTAAAAAACACCAGTGACCGCAGGGATTGGATCTGCATGTTTATTCTGTGGAAGAGTGGCACACACAGTAACAGAACACTGGCAGAGCATGTGGGACTCAGCGCCCTTACACAATCCTCCACAAAAGTACAGAGAAGACGACAACGCAACACGACAACCGTGAGAGCAGCAGAAGAGAGAACAGACACACAGCCCGGCTCGCTCTGATTTCACAACCACGTTAGACCCAGACACGCGTCAGTAACGAGCCCGCGCTCTGTTTTTACGCAGTTTAAAATACAGATGTGAACATTAAAGTTTCAGATGAGCCAAAGGAGAGAGAGCGACAGCTAATCTGACGCTACGAACAGAACCAGCTCGTCTGTGCGACGATCTTAACGAGCTGCTTATTAAAAAAGATCCTAAACATCCTCAGTTTCAGTTTGTTTGGTAAAAACGTATCGGCGCGTGTCTGATGAGGCGCCGATGAAAGTCTGGAGATCTGCAGCACTGAGGCTACGTCCACACGTAGTTTTGAAGATGCAGCTCTTTCTCTGCGTTTGGCCTTTCATCCACCCTCTAAACGCCGTTTGGAGCACTGAAGACTGAGACTTAAACTCCTCCCAGGGTGGAGATTTTCAAAAACTCAGTTTTTGTGTTTACATGTGGACGAGAGATTCAGTCTTGCAGCGCCTTTTGTTTACATGATGGATTTCTACAGTGGTGCAGACAAACTGTTGGTGTTAGTCGTGCTGCCTGCAGTATTTACACGCTTACACACTTTCTTGTTTTTTGCTGTTTCCAGTGTGATGTTGAGGAATAATGTCTGTCCACACGTACGACTCGTTTCTTTGTTTACTCTTTCCCTCCCGGCCTGCAAGACTTCTGATTGGCCAACATTTCTGCATGGTTAGGATTTGGCATGTTCTCGACAGCGTTTGACTTCATTTTTTGCGTTTACATGTGGACGGAGATCTCAAACATGCACGTGTGGATTTTATACTTTTTTGTTTTTGTTATTGAAAATGGAAAATCTCCATTTAGAAAAATACTTGTGTACGTGTGGATGTAGCCTGAGAATCGCCGCTTTTAAAAGGTTATTCTTTCTAATACCTGTACTGATGTTCAGTCTTGCCTCTGACACCCTCCGTACAACAATAACGGGCAGCCAATCAAAAAAAAGTCAGCTTAAAGGGAGGCAGGACGATCTCGGACGCTGCATCACAGCTCGCTGTCAGGTGAAGATCGCTTTGAGCAGAGAATCATGCAAAGCCACTGTAACAGCGTCACACAGGGAACGCACTCGGCCGTCGGTGCACCGTCGCTGAATGTTTAAGATTTCAGAGGCGGCGACCCGGGTCAGCGTCGGACACTTTACCAAATACTAGAACAAAAGCGATACTGTGAAAGCTACAAATGCAGTGCTGTTCGGGCCAGAGCCAGCTTTTATGACTCCGCCCTGCACGGTGCCGGAGCTCGTCCGAACGCTCTGCTTATTGCCGGGAGGGGGCGTTTTCACCCCGGCCCCCTGCTGAGATTTCAGGACGACTTCTCGTCTGTGTGAGTCCTTGTGTGGCGCAACAAATGACTGCTCTGAGTAAAGTTCTTCTCACAAATTTTACAAGAGTAGCGCTTCTCGCCCGTGTGCGTCCTCATGTGGATCAGCAGCGTCCCGCTCTGACAGAAACGCTTCCCGCACGCTTTGCAGGAGTACAGCTTCTCGCCCGTGTGCGTCCTCATGTGGACGGTCAGGCTGCCCCTCTGAGTGAAGCTCTTCCCGCAGGTTTTGCAGGAATGCGGCCTCTCGCCCGTGTGGATCCTCGTGTGGCTCTTCAGGTTTGACGTGCAGATGAATCTCTTCCCGCACGTTTTACACCCGTACGGCTTCTCGCCCGTGTGGATTCTCATGTGGACCAACAGACTGTCGCTACACCTGAACTTTTTCGCACATATTTTGCAGGAGTACGGCTTCTCGCCCGTGTGAGTCCTTTCGTGATATTTCAGTAAGTATATCTGATAGAACTTCTTCCCGCAGGTGCTGCACGCGAACGGCTTCTCGCCCGTGTGGATCCTGACGTGTCTTTTTATTTGGGACTTATCCTTAAAAACTTTCTCACAAACGTAACATTTCAAAGGCTTTTTACCTGCGTCCGTATTACCCTGACTCTCTGACATGGGAGCGCGCTCTGCACTGTCACTTCTGCTTTTAGCGAGTCTCTTCGTTGGCTTTGGCTCTGCGTCTGCGCCCGATCCTGCGTTCGTGCTCCCTTCCTGATCTCGGCTCTCGGCTGCAGGCGGGCTGTGAGACAGGAGCTGCTCGCTGATTGGCTCTGTTTCACTGTCACTTTCCCCGTAAGTAAGAGTCACCATTAAGGTATCGTCCTCCTCCTTCACTATAAGGTGCTCTGCCTGGTAGGCGGTGCAGAGCTCCTCCTGCTCCTCTTTAATCTGCAGAGGCGCTGCTTCCACCCGGCTGGTGTGGAGTTCTTCCAGTTCCTCTTTAACCTGCAGAGGTTCCTGCTCCAGCCTGGAGTTCCCCTCCTGCTCAGGAAGAACCCGTTCCTTATTACAGTCATGTTGCTGAGGAGGATCCAGCTTCAGGCTGGAGGTCTCCTGTTCAGAAGGAGCCTCGTCCTTATTACGATCATGTTGTGACTCCTGCTCCAGGCTGGAGAGCTTCTCCTGCTCTGTAGGAAGTTTCTCCCTGTTGGAGTCATGGTGCTGTGGGAGGCCTGGAGGGACAGAGAGAGAAAAGGAAGGTCACCGGTGCGATGACAGAGAAACATCTGCTCATACACACAACTGGAATTTAACGATAATCAACAGATAATCGGCTTCACGTGTGTCATTTGCAAAGCTCAGAGTACAAAATACTTTTAGCTGCACGTCCCCGTTTTTGACCCACAAACTTTACCTCCTGTCAGGTGTGTTTTATCCTTTTAAACTTTATTGATCAATAATTCTGTTTGAGATCAGTCTTTTCTGAGAGAGTCCCAGGAGCACAACGACCACACAGCAGCAGAGTGTGTGCACATCGATGGCTGAATGTAGTTCATGACTGGAAAGAGTCAGACAGCATTAACGTTTCATGCACCAACTTCAGCTCTGAATGCAAGTCTGTGATCAAGTCAAAATCCCAGGCATTAGTAACTGCAGGCTGCTGTATGCAGCACATGTAGTTTTCTGCATTTAAACGAGTCCTTGAACGCATCACCAGCAGACCGTAGAGGAGTGCAGATCTGAGCCGGGAAGGCTCAAAGATATTTCAAATTACTGGGTCAGCAAAAAGGCAGCGATTACAGTTCTGATAAGGAGTAATTATAGGATTCATGTACCAATAAAGATGGACGTGTGTCTCTGTGAGATCCAACCGTGACTGAGCTGAGGGCGAAACCATCAGCAGGGTTCAAATTTCAGGGATCTCAGGCTTTTCAACCACAGACTGCTTGTTTGGTTGACGTGGCTCAGCGTCTGCTGTCAGTAAAAGGAAAGTAAATACTGGAACAGAAAAACCAGGTATGAGTGTGGTCTGCATGTCACGGATGTCCTTCCTCAGCTGAATCACACGTGTCAGTCGGATGTACTGACTGACTGGTGTTTTTAAAGAAACTGGTACCGCTTTGATTCTTCATTTAGCTTTACTTCCTCTTATCTGGGCTCACAGAGCTGCTCAATAATAAAAACAGGAAGGTGACCACGAGCAGAGCTGCTGCTGCTAACAGTGTCAAGCCCGTTTCCTCATTCGGCTTCTCATTAATCTCCAGACACTGATTCTCCGGCCTCTCCAGTCAACGCTTTCATTCACGACACATTAACGACGACGTGTTTGTCACAGGTCGCAGAGTAATGCCTTCATCCGGTGCCTTCAAATGTGATTCTTTCCTCTCTTGCTGCTATTTATAGGCACTGCTCTGTCTTCAAGCAGGAAGTGGAAAATAAACAAACTCCCTGGTGTCTCTTTTTGTCTCCTTCCTCTTTCCTGAGCTGCAGCTGCACTCTCCTCTCTGAGCCACCAAACAATCAGCAATCAGCGCTACAGCGGGTGGCTCGCACTATTAATCATGCACGACATCAAATGACATCAAACCCCCGTCGCAGCTGCAGGAACCAACAACACGAGCGACTCTTCAAACAGAGGGATTCTTGGACTAACGCTTTGATCATGTGTTTGTTTGCATTTTCATGGACATCTGTACAAAACCATCCGTTCCATCTGTTACAGATGCGCCTCCTACGTGCTTAGTGTTTCCTTCCATTACTGACAGCACGTTGGTCACATGAGACCTCCCACAGTCCCCTGTGACAATCCCACAGGTGAGGCTCTATTGAGAAAGACATAGGAGTGTTTCATAGATGTATATTTGAAAAATGAGAGCAAAGACCGTCACAGATTTTGGATACGTTATGAACAGAAACGTGGTCTTTCTAAAACAGCTGGTTTTGGTACACGGTGTCATAACTGGGGAATATCACACAGGCTGGATGAAAGAGTTTCCATATTCAGGCTTTAATAAAGAAGACATGCGGCCGACTGTTTAAAAGAATATTTTAAGCCTTGTGTATAAAAGTTACTTTTTTTTTGCTTCTCTCTTATTGCTTTGCACAGCAGGAAGCGCCACAGGTCTGATTTACAGACTTTACACTGATTCTTGGTGCAACCCTGAAGGGATTCGGGTGTCATGCCTGGGAGGACGTGTACATGTCTGTGCCATCCGGGTCATTGTGAAGCACATTTTCACACACGACTCATGTAACGTCCCTCAGGACTGTCTCACAGGGGACAACCCCCACTAAGGGTTACATGCCTCCACCGTTTGCTGTAGAACAAAAACTGGAGGGGTTCATTCATAGAAGCAGCTATGTACCCTGAACCCTGTGAAGGACCGAGCTCAGGGCCGTTATAGATGCTGGAATCTTACACAGCCTCCCTCCAACCCTTCAAGGATGTTTGAGAGCACCAATGGCAGCAGGGCCCTGACACTTTGCAGACAGTCAGAGGTCGAACTTTCACCGGGAATTGTTTTCAGGTGAGAGGTATTTAATGACGTGACCCTCTGCCCACTCTGGCCCCAGCACTCCTGCTTCATCAATCACCCCGCGCGTAAAAGCAGAGCTGAACGCGGATCGCCACCTCGCTGTCCGCTGACAGCGGCTCTAGCCCGGCCCAGCTCTGCGTGCTGCTGGGCCCACGGACTGTGTGCCGATCACAGCCATGTTAGTTCGGCCTCACTCGTTTCTTCCCGCAACAATCCAAACCCCGCAGGAAATACACGGCCTACTGTCCCGCAGCTCGTGTTCAGCTCCTGGCTGAGTAAATGTGCCGTGGAGCTCCGGTTAGGATCCTGCGTGAAGTGTTTTTCTCGCTGAGCGTGGACTCACCTATTCTGTGCAGCTTTATCTGAGGCTTCCAGGTGATCTCCAGCAGTCTGCGCTGACGGTCGATCACTTCCTCGTACTGGACGATCGTTTTTTCAAACTCCAGGAATATTTCTTCGGCGGCAGCAGTTAGTCGGCCGTTAATAAACCGTCTCAGGTCCCGATGTAAGGTCATCATTACTGCACCTGCGGAAACACGGGCCTGAAACAGGGTAAGAAAGAAAACCCCACCGCCTTCCACTCCAGCCCTCAGAGGAGTTAAGCTAACAATAAACCTTGAGTGGGTTTTCTTCTTCTCCTGGCAGACTAAACTCAGCGCAGGCGCACCGCTGCCCCCTGCAGGTCATTTGTAGACATACACTGCGTGTGTCACCCCGCATCACAGACGCATTTGGGCGACTTGTTGCACTTCTGGCTCAGTTACGTTCGGCCTGAGTGAAAACTGCATTAGGCCAGTTTCTCCTGTCACCCAGTCTTAGTCTAGTTTCCACTGAACCGGCCCACTGAGAACCTGCTTTCACTTCCCTCCCTCCACTCTTGAAGCACCAAAAGCTGCAGTTAACTAGTAATAACAGAGCATCCAGGTAGTCCTGCTGAATGACATTCTAGGATTTTATGTGGATGTTAGTGAGCACTGATTATCAAGTATTTGTGTGATGTTGTGTGATCACATGGTGTGTGATCCCATGCAGGCCAGGGATGCAGCTTAGTGCATTATTTATTAATGATCTGGGTGAACAGAGCGATAATACTCAGATGGTGCACTGTTAAAAAATGTGAGCCAGCTTAAACTCTGAGTTGAGTCCCTGATCTGTTCTCTGGCCCCTTTTCTCCGTGACTAAACTAATGGTGTGCAAATCTGCTGGAGGCCAGGATGTAACCTCCAGCTGCGGAAGACGCTGCTTGTGATGAACGAGCAGTGTTGGGGAGTAACGGAATACATGTACCGCCGTTACGTATTTAGAATACAAAATATGAGTAACTGTATTCCGTTACAGTTACCGTTTAAAAAGGTGGTATTCAGAATACAGTTACTTTGTTGAAATAAATGGATTACACTGCGGTACTTTCCTGTTTCATATTGTCGCGGGTCAGGACTGTTTGGGTTTTGTGTGACAGCTACGTTCTGTTGTTCCAGGCGGCAGCGTTACGGTTGCCATGGTTATAGGGCGACGCTCTCTCTCTCTCTCTGCGACTGCGTGTTTCCTGGGTGAGAGAGCGCCTTTTCGTTGTTGTTGTTGTGCTAAGCTAACAGGCAGAATGCTACAAGCATAGCTCTAAAGAATGTAGCATCATGGGCAGTGTAGTCCGTGTTGCAGGGAGAATGGACTGCCATACACGTTATGGGTCTGTGAGCGCGAGGAGGGAGAAAAAGGGGAGTGGAAAGGTACGAGTTGTCGTCGAGGAAAAACGGGAGCTGGAAGCATGTAAATATAATAATAACCACTGCAGCCAAGAAGAGAGCCTGACGAGCCCAGTTGTAAGTAAGCTATTAAGACTCGACTGTACACCATGTTCGTGTTTCCCTCCGAAAACAATAAGTTCCGTTGGAGCAGTCTTTCAACGCCTCTCTCTGTCTCTGCTAGCAAAGTTGACCCAGACAACAAAGTAAAGCTATTTTTCGGCTACGAGCCGACAGGGACCCCGCCTATTAGTCAGAGGTCCCTTTACTACAGTTCGGAGTCGCGGACCTTCAGTAATAGTAATAAATCACACAGCAATAGTACATTCACGTTGTTGTAAAAAGCACGATAATATATTAAGTAATCCAAAGTATTCAGAATACGTTACTCTCATTGAGTAACGTAACGGAATACGTTACAGAATACATTTTGGGGCATGTATTCTGTAACGGAATACATTTTAAAAGTAACCTTCCCAACACTGTGAACGAGTCAGTGTCTGTGCCCTGAAAAGGTGGATAATGAGGGAACAATGTATGGACTCGTGAATGTTTTCCTGAAAATCTGCCTGATATCGTACGCTTTCCAATCCCAGCCGATGTCACGCAGCCCTGTCTGTCTGAAAGATGACTCATTCTAGACATGCTTAGTTGATCAAAAGCAGATAGTGTGGGGGTTTACATTTAACAAGTGAAAAATCCCTGGTTTGACCCCAAGAGCAGACACAAATCCTTCAGGGACACATCAGGAAGGACATCTGGAGTAAAAAGTACCAAAGCTAACATGTGGAGCTACCCGGTGTGAATAAAGGAGCAGCTGAAAGCAGTTTCATCTACACTGCATCCAGGCTTTGTGGTGACTCAAGAGACAACGATCGGGAAGTAACAGACTCCCATTATTAGATCTGAAAAACGGACAACAGGAATGTTCTAGAGTTTGTAACTTTTAAGCATCAAAAATGTTCTGATGGGTTAAAAATAAAATTCAAATCTCCACGAAGATGATTTTATATTTGACTTTCCTTCTTCACACCCGTTAGTTTTCAGTGTTTACCTTTTATCACGTGGACGCTTCGTTTGTGTAGGCGGAACGAAAGTTAGACGCCGATGCGCTGTCGGAACCTCTCACTGTGACACACAGAGGAAGTAAACAGATAGTAGTTTTATTTCTGTTGAGCGGAGACTGTGCTGCAGCAACGATGCCTTCAGTTCAGTATCTGAGAGAGTTCATCAACGAGCGACTAACTGCTGCTGCTGAACAAATATTCTTGGAGTTTGAAAAAACGATCGTCCAGTACGAGGAAGAGATCGACCGTCAGCGCAGACTGCTGGATATCACCTGGAAACCCCAAATCAAGCTGCACAGGACAGGTGAGTGTCCCTCTGAGGGAGGATCCTGATCACAGCTCTGCGGGACGTTTATTCAGCTGCGAGCGAACAGGCCGTGGGTTTCCTGCACAGCCTGAGTGTGAGCTAGTGTGGATCACAGGGTCTCAGGTTTGACGCACTGATGGACGTAGAAGGTGTTTTTGAGGTCAGCCACGAAATTAGCGCTCACGTTTACAACTGCAAACACAGAAAACATGTCAAAAGTCAACATCTTAGTGCAGTAAAAAAAAGAGGGAGACAGGGGAAGCTGAAGGGGGCAGCAGTAGATGAGTTTAAATAACTCGGGTCAATCATCGAAACAGGCAGGCAGGGTGGAGAGTGTCACGGGTGATCTGTGACAAAAGGACAGCAGCGTAAGTGAAAGGAGTGAAAGGGAAAGTTTAAAGCTGGCAGTGAGACCTGCTGGGATGGATGTTTGGAGACGGTGGCTCTGACACGAAGACATGAGGCCGAGCTGAAGATGATCACATGTTCAGCGAGCAGCATGGATCAGAGATGAGTCCATCAGAGAGGAGAGGCTGAGAGGGTTTGGACACGTGCAGAGGAGGGAGGGTGGATATATCAGACAAAGGAGGATGAAGATGGAGCTGCCAGGCAGGAGGGAAAGAGGAAGACCTCAGAGGAGGTTCATGGGTGTAATGAAGGAGGACAGAGGAGGATGCTGGGGTAGGAGGAGATGGAGGGTTATCAGCTGCGACGCACTGCCAAAGAGAGCAGAGGTGCATGTGTGAAAACAGGAGAACTCAAGACAACCGGTGTACATTTGAGACCTTTTAGTTTTTCCCAGTTTTCCTGAAATCGTTTGGAACTGTGGATTCACTCTGTGCTGGCCTCAAACCTTCACCAGTTTAACCTGATGGAAAAACAAAAGCCTGCTCCGACACTCCTGCCGGGCGGCCCCGTTTCTCAGTTCCTCTAACCTGTTTAGGTCGAGGAGCTCCCGTCTGCAGCTCGTCATAACGCAAACATGGGCTGAAAGCAGGAAGCTGCTTCCTGAGTGGTGACCAAATGTTCCCTACATGAGTGAAACCTCTCGTGGAAGCAGCCACAAAGAGCCGCAGATGCAGACTTTAAGTTTCACTTCCCTGTGCTGGCTTGGTTCATTTCAGGATAGATCAGACGTTACTTCCAGCTTTGAAGTTTTATGAACTGTTAAAGTTGCAGAGCCGCTACATTTTAAAAGATCAGTTCCTTCTTGTCCATTATGTTTTCCATGATAATCATCTTAATATTGACTCAGCAGCCCTGATTTCAAGCATGTAGATCAGCTGTGATCTTTTTTTCTTTTTGTGACATTATCAACCCTTTATCCCTCCAGACGTCCCACAGCAGCAGGTCTGTGAGGAGGAGGAGGTTCTCCCTGAGCAGCAGCTCTGTGACCAGGAGAGGAGCTCCAGTGTGGACCAGGAGGAACCAGAAGCTCCACAGATCGAAGGGAAGCAGGAGGAGCAGCTGGTAGTCGGGCAGCAGAGCGATCCCTTCATGGTCACTATACTTACACAGCACGCATAAACTGTGTGAACGACTCTCACATGTTAGAGCGCCACTGTGTGACAGACGCGGGAAGAAGACGGTGAAATGTGATGTTTGTGGAAAAGCCTTTCAGCACAGGTCCCGGATGATACATCGCAGGATCCACACGGGCGTGAAGCTGTACGCCTGCGACACCTGCGGAAAAGGCTTCGTGAGGAGCGATAAGCTGGCGCTCCACATGAGGACGCACACGGGAGAGAGCGCGTACACCTGTGACACCTGCGGGGAACGGTTCATTCAGTCCGCGATGTTAAAAACTCACATGAGAAGTCACACAGGTGAGACGCTGGACTGCAAAACCTGCGGCAGATGTTTCAGTCAGAAGAGCCACTTGTTGCGCCGCATGAAGATCCACACGCGAAAGACCAAGCCGGCCTGAAACGCCTGAGGGAGGGGGAGGGGCTTCAGGTATCAAGGTGATTTTCAAATCTGAGGTTTGACTATTTTTAAACTGAGATTATTTTTATTCGATTTAACCTTTGGGCCGTTGGTGAGGTCGTCCACCTCGATGGACGGGTGCTGGTCTTCGATGAGTCCTAAAAAAAATGTATGTTTCACTGATACAACACATTTCTAACATCAAAGTCACAGATTTGCTTCTTTGCTTTTCTAAATGATGTGTAAAGATTATTTATGTATCTGCATGTTTTATATGTAATTCAGTTCATCACAACAACCGTCACCTCGAGGCACTTTGTGTTGCAGGTAAACAGCTTCAGTATTCGATACATGTGTGCTGTTTGTCATCAGGTGACTTTATCACTGCTGTGATTTTACTGACTGACTGAGTTGAGTTTCCATGGTAACGCCAGCTGTTTCAGGCATACCTGAGAAAGTTACCGAGGTTAACGTTTTCTGTTTTGGGTTGTTGTGCAATCAAGTCTCCATTTTCAAGACGTTTTCATACTGAAAGCAGAGATGGAACATATCTGGGTCCCACTCATGAAGCTGGGTCGGTATCGGGGCACAGTGGGGCGATCTCAGCTTTCTTCCACGTGCTCTGCAGGCCACAGCTGCAGTTAGATGATGTGTACTGTTTGGGGGATCATTCTCAGCTGTGTGCTGGGCCAGATTTGGTCCTCAGGCTGTGAGGTTGACACATGAATCCTAAACCTAACAGGTCAAAGTAAATAAATATATGTGCTGCTGAGAGGTCGAGGCACAAGGCAATGTGATGAACATTTACTGCAGCAGGTTTCAGCAAATAAAAACATGCCTTTATCGTGTCGTCATCATCTGCTATCATTTTCCTGTCGTTTCACGTTGGAGCTGAATGTCAAACGGGTTTAAAGTGTCTGATATGCCAGTAAAAAGAAATCTGTATGTGTACGCTGAATAAAAAGACTTTAAAAAAGACGTTTCCAGTGTTTGGTCACTCACATTTATTTAACTTCAAAGAGTCGAGCTGTGGCATAAAAATAAAAGGGTGGCGTCTTTGTTTAGGTTCAAGCATGAAGCTCACATTCAAGGACAAACTGATGAATGTCACCATTTTTCATCAGGATCAAAGTGAAAATGTTGCATCTACATGTCGACTCTGAGTTTTCCAGATAACTTACAAACTACATAATTATGAAACATCAAAAGTGATGGAATCGTGCAAAAAACCAAAGCTTTCTGTTGACATAATGTTCGGTTGTGATGCAGGTTTGAGTCTGAACCCTGAAAAATAGTTTTCAGAGTTAAAATTAGAGGTAAAGATTGAACATCTATTTAGCTCTTTAGGCAGAGGTTAAACAGCAGCTGCGAGGAATGAGGGTAATATTCTTATATTATCCATAGATGTCATTCACACCCAGAGTGTCTCTCCTTCATGTTGCTCTGTCTGCTGATGATCACTTCCTGTCCTCATCTTCTGCCCCCGGTGTTTTCATCTGTAGGAAACTTCTTTCAGTTTGAAATCATAACCGGCTGCGGGGCTTTTCCACTTCTGGTGTCGCAGAAAAATGAAGAACTTCAGTTTGTGTACAGTATTGTTTACCCAGACTCTAACCTGACAACGACAACATCTGCAGCTGACTTCAGGTTTTTATTTATGATTTTTTTATTAAATATATTTTGTTATGCGTATTACTAAAATGCTTCGCCTGGTTTGATATAACATTATCACACATTTATATATATTTTTAATTATTGGTTAATTATTAACAGCAGCCCCCCCTCCCTCCCTCCTCCACCTCAGCGGCCCTGTGTGGGTCAGACAGGAACAATATGGCGCCGGGAGGAACGTTAGCATCGGGACCAGTCGTTGTCTGAGAGACTGGTGATCCGGCAGGATGAACCTCTGCGCCCAGTACCTCCGGTAAGTTCACCGCGGAGCGCTCTGTCCGTCGCTCGGTGGCCCAGGAGCGGTCAGAACCGGACGTTTTGACCCGACAGGAGGCTTGTTTGGCTCAGCTTTTAGTATGTCAGGAGCTAGCTGCTCCAGGGACCACCCCCTTAGCTAATGTTAGCTGTTAGCTTCATACATCAACAAACAATCGGCGCCTCTGCATGTCGCCGCCTCACGCTCCTTTAGTCTGAGATGTGGATTATTTATTTAAATCACATTCAGCTGCGCACAGGTGTGATGTTTGGTGTGCTAATTTAAGGCCAGATGAGCGTTTACCCGCCATACGTTTCCCACTGTGTTGTTGCTAGCTTTAGCCCGCTAGCTAGCTTCCACCTGCGTATGTCATGTTAGCATTTCCTTTCTGAGGTTGTCACATATGAACTCTGGGCATCTATTCACACACCCGCCTCCTTCAGCTTTACTTCATCAGCATGTTTAAGTGTTTGTGCCGATGGTTTACGTGCACAGGTGTTAATAAACAGCGCGTGGTCGTTAATCAGCGGGCGGGTTTGTAACGAAAATCTATTTGTATTGCTAAGTTTTTGTATCCAGGAAGTAGGCTGAGCCCGATATCTGTTCCGTGCCGTGCTGACGACGTTTAATCTGAGCTGTTAGTGCTTTAATGAAGCGATAACGGGCGGAGCAGCCTCCGTAGTATCTGTGGATCGTCAGTAATAAGGAAGTGCTGTATGAGGCTTTGTTATGACTGGAGACAGGTGCTGTCAGGTTGTCATGCTCTGTGTGTGTTTGTGTGTGTTCGCGCCTCTAACCTCCTGTTCTCTGTTTACATCCGAGCAGACAGGCAGAGGCCCTGAAAGCTGACATGACAGGTAAGTCCCCACCGCTGCTTACTCACACACCTGTTCATCCTTCACCTGCTCATCTCTGGAGGCCTGCAGTTCAGGCAGGTTCAGCAGTCTGAGGATAACTTTTCTTAATGTGGCTTCATTGAACCTGAGATCATCAGTTAGGTTGAGAGGTGGTTAAAAGCTTGATAAGTCAGCCTGGGTCAGTCCTTCATCGTTCAGACAAACGAGTCAGAGCATCTGACCAATCAGAAACATGGAGAGATCTGCTGGGAGCAGAGCGATGGAAAGGGAAAACGAAACTATGAGATGCACATACGATATTAAACACATTTCACTCTGAAGGCATCAGAATGAGCATATGTGTGAAAGGAAACCTCTGTAGGATTGTAAGTTTTGTGGACTTGGCTTTTAAGATGTTAATAAAGTTTAGTTTATTTGAAGCCAGGAAAGAGAACCTGCAAAAGTGTCGACTGTGCAAGTTAACAGACATGAAGACACGGGAGGATCGGATTACAGCTGCTCCACAAAGTGAATGTTTAGATGTGTGTGAGACAGGTTTATTGTTTCCTTTGCAGTGCTGGTTGTGTTTAATGCTCTGAGAGGAAAATGAAACAGAATTCAAACATAGACTCAGTCTGCTTACAAATCTGATACGAGGTAATAAAGTGTAAATGGTTCCCCGTTTATAGCCAGTTTTTTTTTTTTTTTTTTTTAATAATAAATGTCAACAAGCTTCTTCTGAGAATTTGAACTTTAGACTTCCTTAAAGTTTCCGCTCCTCCTCCTGTTTGCACACTGAGCTCTGAGGAATGGTAAAGTTGTTTTCATGGATCTGAATGGTCAGTATACAAGGATTTTAAACCACTTGGTTTCTTATCTCAGACATGATCTACTCCAGAGCAGGTCAGGTCTGCAGCATAAGTTGCCATGGTGATGTATCCTGGTAAGATGTGAACCTCCTTCATAACAAAACTCAGGGTTAAACCTGCAGGTACCTCAGTAAGCTCCAAACCCGCCTCGCAATACAGGCATCAGGTCAGACACCCACTGGGTAACTCGTGTGTTTAAAAGGCATTAAGTGTAGTAAGAATAATAATGTTGATGATACATTTTATTTATAGATGCTTTTTAAGACACTCAGTGTGCATAAACAGCTGGAAGGCAACACAATTAAAAGGTCATTTATGCAGAAGTCTTGATGTGAATCTTTGTTTTAGAAGGTGAGTTATGAAGGTATTTAGACCGTACGCTGTGAAAAGAGAAGATGTAACAAGCTGAAACTTCAGCCTTCAGCTTTTCTCTCAGTAATTTGTGCTCTCTCCAGTTATGTCAAGTCTTTGTTATTTATTTGTTTTTCTTGGCATTTGTGTGGGCTAATAAATAAATAAATAGAAGTTTTCTTAAATCATCTTTGAAAAATACTAAAAGTTGGAAAGCAGAATTAAAAAAGTTGGTAAATTCCTGTTACAGCAGAAACCTCCAGAAACTACAAAAATTGTTGCTTATTCAGGTTTTTTTTATTGAACTATATATATATATTTTTATATCTGACATTAACTTTGAAAGCGTCCCGCTGTGGTGTGTAGCTTGCTGAGACGAGCGGCTCTGCACTTTCTTTTTGTCATCAATGAAATGGAAAAATGCAAATTGGATGAAAATTGTTGGTTAAAGTGCTGCTGATGTGTGTGAGGCACCTGCTTTAAAACCAAGGTGAAGGGAAGCAGACGGACTTCCAGCAGTTTTGACTCACCGGCCTGTATCGAGCGGGTCGACGTGGACGCTGACAGATAGCCCTTCGTCACTTCTTTCCTTTCACTTCTCTGTAAACGACGACGCCAGGGTTTATTTAATTCACACTTATTTAGTTTACTTTAGATGAACGATAGTTAAAACTCAAAGATTGATTCAAAGTGATGATTTCTGTTTAAGAGACTTATGTGCATCACAAAGCTGTGAGGTATGTAAGCTGAAACAGAGACGCGAGCTTTAAATGAAAGCGTGAGCGCAGGTGAACGTTTCTTTGAAGAGCCTCAGGGAGAACAAACCCTGCTGGTTCCTTATTTTGCTGATGTGATGAAATGTTTCAGTTCTTTGGACCAGCTCAGCTGATGGTGTGACTGAGCTCCTGTCGCTCTGCAGTTATTATTACGCGGAGCCTGCACACACATTGGGAATCTGCTGTTATTGGGGGGACTTGGAGGTCTGGGGCTCACTTGCAGGCTTCATGCTAAAAAGAACTAAATCAGTGTTTTAGCAACGTAAAGCTGTAGCTCAGCTAAATATTACGAGTTAGAGAAAACAGACAAATACAGATGCAGCTCCTGGTTAATAAGCATTTGATCCACAAGTAAAACAGAAAAATGTCTAGAATGTGTTGTTTTTTGGCACCAGGTGATTTCTAGTTTGTGGTTCAGTCAGGGTTGAGCAGGCTTTGGTTGCCGGCAGGTACACAGTCCGTGTGGTCAGGACATTATCCGACAAAACCAGTCAACCAATTAGTATTCTCCCTTCATAGCACAGGTCATCACAGCCGGGCTTGAAGCTGGCTTTTTGAATGATTGCACATAACTACGCCTCTGTAGCTTCAGTTCCCTCTGTGAGTGTGTAACCACAGAGCTACACAAACACAAATCCGACATTAGCTTTCAGAGAGTCATCTGTAATTGTAAAAAACGATCATCAGAAGGAAGGAGGAGAAGGTCTTGGCTCAGACACCAGGAAAATCATCTGTTACCAGACCACAGCTGTAATCAACACAGACGACGTGTTACTTCCAGTTTGGTTGAAGCTGAAGTCATTGTTTGGTCTTACAGCAGACCAGTGAATCCATTAGACCTGCTGCCTCAGCCTGATTTTAAAGCAGAGCAGCGGCTTCTCACGATGACTGGAAACCTTCCAGTTTGTCTAGCTGAGCTGCCTCCAGTGAGCCCGAGCTCGGTTATGATGGTTCATTTGCATGTTTTTATCTGGAGGCATGTCGGTATCTCTTTGTTGTCAGTCGGCGCAGGAACACGGAGATGCTGGACGCCATCACGGTTGGAGTTTATTAACATTTCAGACTCTTGGATTGATGCTGTTTTTGTCATAAAGGCTTCAAACTGTGTGTCTGCTGTCATCAAGGTGACTTTTGCCAGAATTTAGTATAAACAATTAGCTCTTGGGTGCAGATAATGTAAATAGTCATTAATACTCATCTCTGTTACACTTTAGATCAGATTGGTTGTGTTGTGTTTTCTACTCCACCAATCATATACATCCATGTACACGTCCTCCACCGGGCAGCTACAGGGAGGGGCGTGTCCAACAGAGATGCATATGTCATGCATGACAAAAATTAAACAGAAGAATTCAAATAAATAAAAATGTGAAGAAGAAAAACAATGAAGAATCAGGCAGACGTTCACTGTGTGTAAATCAGGTGACATATGATGCTTTGCTCTCCTGCAGGTGCATAAAATCCCAAAAACGTGACGCTGTCAAATTCTAAAGTGAGAAAACTTTAAATGAGCTCATTTTGAATTTGAGGGCAGCAGCAGGTGTAATTAAAGTTGGGACAGGGCCATGTTTCCACTGCGTAGCATCCCTCTGCTTTTAACTACAGTCTATAAACGGCTGGAAACCGAGGAGAGCAGCTGCTGGATGTTTGGGAAAGGAATGTTGTCCCATTGTTGCCTCATAGAGGATCTGAACTGCTCCACACATCTTCTTTGTTGTACTTTTGGATTCTTAACTTCCAGTTGGTCACAGTCTTTCCAAAGTGGTTTGTCCCGATTGGACCGTTTGGTGGGATGGTTCTGGTCCCAAGGCCATATGTTTGACAGCTCGCCCTCTCGTGCTTGTAGCATCTCCTTTGTGTGGTCACGTACAAAAGCACGTGCTGCTAGTTGTTGTTTCTGAGATGTTATCGACTAACCGGGCTGCGGCCCCAACCGCAGCACGGCTCCCCCGTCTGCCCGTGACAGGAAGTTTAAAGTTGCACAAATGTCATCAGCACTCGCAAGAAGGTTCTGCTCGGTTTCGAAAATAAGCTCCTGTGTCTCAGAGACAGTGTATCAAGTATTTATAGGGACTTTCAGCTGCTCCCTTGTCAACGGGGCTCTCCCAGGGGGTAGCTTGTGTTTGATTTGGCAGTGTGAGGTCGCATGCCCTTCCTGACCCAACGTAAAGTGGATTCGTGTCTCTGACTGGAATCAAACCAGCACCCCTTTCTCCCCAAGCAAACGTATAAACCACCACATTTGAACTGAAGCAGTTTCCTGTGTTTTCACTGTTAAAGTCTCAGATTAGTCTTTTACATTTCCATCAGAACCACTTTGCTTTGGTGCTGTCCTTAAACCGTGTGTGTGTGTGTGTGTGTGTGTGTGTGTGTGTGTGTGTGTGTGTAGATTCAAAGCTGGGGGCAGCAGAGGTGTGGACGTCCCGGCAGGCCCTGCAGGACCTTTACCAGAAGATGCTGGTGACAGACCTGGAGTATGCTCTGGACAAGAAGGTGGAGCAGGACCTGTAAGCCGCCCCTCCTCCGCTCTGCATCACACAACATAATTTTCTCCAACAATTTCAGTTCAATTAATTTAGACCAGTGTTGCTGTAACTGCAGAGAAAAAGGACACGAGTGAAGGGAAATAACGAGCAATAATCTACAGGTATCAGTAAAATAACCTGGTTCAAAAAGTGTGAACGGGAGTCGCTCACTATTAGTGTTTCGTAGCAGGCAGGTTCAGAGTCGCTGGTGGAGCTGATGGAGCTGATGGAGACCAAATCAGCTGCAGTGCTCAGTTTCTAACATCCTTTAACATTAATGCAACATTTGGTGGCTAAATGGTGATAATAAATGTGTGACTGAAGACAAACTGAGCTCAGCTTTTGGACCGCATGGTGTCACCATGGTTACAGCATGATGACAGAGGAGGTCCGACATCCATGAATCTGCAGAGTCCACTTTGTTCCCTCTGTGTTGATGTATTCAGCGCGCAGTCAGTGTGTGAAGCTTTGACTCATGTATCGCAGCTACAGGTCACGTCTCCGCCTGCAGCTGTGGGTGGATCATCAGTCGTAATAATGGACAGATGTGTCGATTGTGTTTCGTGCTAAACTGTCATTTCCTGCCCCCAGTTCAGCTCCACCAATAAAACACATCGTCACAGCTTCCAGACACACACAGATGTCTGATATATGAGAACCTGGAGACTGTTTTTAATATTTGGGGTCTGTGAAGTAAGTTGTTGAAAGCCTGTCGCTCCTTGTTGGTTACTGCAGAAATTCTCACGAAGCCAAAAGTTTGTCGGAATATTTAGAATTTTTGATGTGTTGACACCAAAGATCAGTTTCACATAAAAAGGCAGTAATATAGCCCTCGACTCAGTTTGTGGGCTTTTCCATCAGGCAGAAGGAGCTGGTACTTTTTAGGATGTATTTGTTCGAAGCGCTGTGAGCTGATCCGAAAATGTGACGTCAACCGACTACGTGCTGCTGATTGGCCAGTCAGGATCCCTTTACCAATCATCTGGGTCCTGATGTGGGTTTCTCTCTGCCTGCAGGTGGAATCATGCTTTCAAGAACCAGATCACCACGCTTCAGAGCCAGGCCAAGAACCGAGCCAACCCCAACCGCAGCGAGGTCCAGGCCAACCTGTCGCTGTTTCTGGAAGCTGCCAGTGGCTTCTACACACAGGTAGGCTCACCTTGTGTTTGTGAAGTTATGAAAAAATGTCCAGTTTTGCTCTAAAGAAATAATCCCTGCAGTCATTTCTAAGCTGGTCTAGGCTCCGCCTCTGGGAGGATTTTTGTTTGGAGTAATCCTGCTAACACACAGACAAAGTGAATGGAGTTAAAGCCCCACATCACCACCGATAGAAACCATTCAAACGACGTCTCACTGTGTCTGCCGTGTTCCAGTTACTGCAGGAGCTGTGCACCGTGTTCAACGTGGACCTGCCCTGCCGCGTGAAGTCGTCTCAGCTCGGCATCATCAGCAATAAGCAGAGCAACACCAGCGCCATCGTCACCCCTCAGCCCAGCTCCTGCTCCTACATCTGCCAGCACTGCCTCGTCCATCTCGGAGACATCGGTGAGAAAAGCTTCCCGTTCGTGAGCGGCGAACGGGAAGCTCATTTGAAAAACCAGCCCTGATGTTGGTTTTTCAGAGCTTATTTTCTTTGTCTTTGTCTTTCAGCTCGATATCGTAACCAGACCAGCCAGGCCGAGTCCTACTACCGGCACGCAGCTCAGCTGGTTCCATCTAACGGTGAGTCCCCGCACGTTTTCTTTAACTGGCTTTTAGATTTTGCTGTTTTTGGAAATCTGTCCCTTTATCAGCTGAGCTCTAAACACATTCAAACACTGAGTCGTTTCATCTAAATGTCATACGCGCGTAATTCTTGCAGCTTTCAAGTACTGAGAAAGAAATGTGGTTGAATTATGCTGGGGTTGCTATAGTTACCACTCTGCCTCTTGTAAATAGTGTCACATGTGAGGGACAGCTGATGTTAAAGATGAATTACTGACATTTAAAAGCTCTGCTGTAAAACACTGATACTGAATAATATAATCTAAAGAAATGATATGTGTGTTCTGGTGTTTGGTATTCATAATGACGAGAAGCAGCCATGTTTGTAGTTCTTCCCTGCTCATGTGCTGCCTCTCCGTGTCTCCTGCAGGTCAGCCCTACAACCAGCTGGCCATCCTGGCCTCCTCTAAAGGAGACCACCTCACCACCATCTTCTATTACTGCCGCAGCATTGCAGTCAAGTTCCCCTTCCCAGCAGCCTCCACCAACCTGCAGAAGGCGCTGTCCAAGGCTCTGGAGAGGTACTAGCTCACAGCACAAACACTATTTCACCCGCTGTAGAGTCAAAGGAAATGATCTAAGATTTCATCTGAAAAGGGAAAACCAAACTCTTTAAACTGTCTCGAAGTGTGACGATGTCTCATTTCCGCTCTGTTAAATCCTCCTTCTGTGGTCCTGCAGTCGCGATGAAGTGAAAACCAAGTGGAGCGTGTCCGATTTCATCAAGGCCTTCATCAAGTTTCACGGTCACGTCTACCTGAGTAAGAGTCTGGACAAGCTGGACGGCCTGAGAGAGAAACTGGAGGAGCAGTTTCAGGTACAACTAAACGCTGTTTGATGCACCGCGACGTGCAAATCTGTGCGAGTCCGTTTGTATGACACGGGTGTTGCTGTGTGTTTGCGTGTGCAGAGGCTGATCCTGCAGAAAGCCTTCAGCTCTCAGCAGCTCGTCCACATCACCGTCATTAACCTGTTTGAGCTGCACCACCTCAGAGACCTGACGGCTGACGGCAGCGAGCAGAGCTACAGCAGCGAGCAGCAGATCAGCTGGTTCCAGCTCCTCGGCCTTTTCAGTAAGAACTGAAAACTGTTAATGACCGATTACATGGATGGAGTCGTGGACGGCTCCTGCTTTGTTTGAATGATACTCATGTCAGATTTATATGGTGGCTTTTACGTTTATTAGAAGTACAGCGACTCATACGTGTAACCTGCAACAACTCAAAACTGTCTCCTCAGTGTCCTTCCTGGGCGTCATGTGCAGCCGCGTGCTGCTCAACAAGAACCGCGGGGAGGAGATCATGGGCGAGTGCCCGCTGCCGGCCATCAAGGTGTCGCTGGACTGGCTCAAACTGAGGCCCAGCGTCTTCCACGAGGCCGCTCTTGTTAAACGGCAGTAGTAAGTCCTGCCCACTTTCTCTCTCTTAATCAGCAGAGTTTTGTACTGAAGCTGTAACTCTGCATCCTCTTCCTCTCTCTCAGCGTTTGGCCCTGGCTCGTGTCCATTCTCAACAGTTTCCAGCCCAAAGAGGACGACCTGTCCTGCTCCTCAGGTGGGACATTGCTCCTAATTTCCTGGAAACTACTTTGTAACTTTAGGTTACGTTTTGATTCTTACACACAGCAGACGAGCTCAGACTGTTCTGTTATTCCTGTTCACACCGACCGCTGTAAAATACGCAAACGTCGCCTTAGTAAGTGACAGATCACTGAGAAAGCAGGAAAACTGCTGCTAGCGTGCTTTCATCTCACTACAGTTTCATTCTCCAGGTTAAAGTTGACAATAAAACAAAAGGCTGTGTTCACAGAATAAATCCTCTTATAATGACTCCATGACTGCTACTCTGTACGTTTCTTGGAGTAATTATTTTGAATCTGGAATCTTTCCTCAAATTTTAGGGAAGTATTAGGAAACATCAAAGATCCACAAGCCGCTTTACAGCATCCTCCAGATGTGCTGCTTCCAGACGGCATCACCTTCAGCCATCAAAACCAGCAAACGGGCGCCATCATGGGACGGCGTCCTGTTCTAAATCTTTAGTCGGCGTGCATTAGCAGAATGCTGGCGTTTTATGGGCGAATGGGGGGAAAAAAAAAAAAAAAAGTCCTTTGCTTGTGAACAGTGAGCTAGTTCACAGGCGCCCCCTGTTGTGCATCTGCTGCATTTTCAGCCAGTTTTGATACAAAGAGGTTCACAGGAAGTGAAGTCCCTTCGGTCACTGTTAGCACTGCAGCAGTTTAACCTGCGACCCTCACAGTTTAAATCCTGTCTGAATAAACCAAAACATTTGTTTTTTAACTTTTAATCGAACTCGTTGGTTAATTTTTTTACAAAGTTCATTCTTGATTCTAGGATGTTTGTTTTCTCCACAGTCACACCCCTGCCTGAGGAGTTTGAGCTGCAGGGTTTCTTGGCTCTCCGTCCTGCTCTGAGGTGACGACTCGCCTCCCTCTCTTGGTGATTGTTTAAAGTGTTTGGTCAGCGCAGATGTTCTGATGTGTGTTTGTGTTTCAGGTGTCTGGACTTCACCAAAGGACATCAGGGCATCCTGGTGGACCGGGACGGCCTGCCGGTGCATGCCCGACACCAGCGACTCATCAGCCTGGGCAAATGGGTGGCTGACAGCCAGCCGGGGTGAGTGTTACTCCGCTCTGTGACGTCGTGCTGTGTACGGACTGGTGTGTCATGGCTGTTTCCCCTTTGCAGACTGATCCAGTGCAGAGTGAGCGAGGATGGCCTCCTCATCTTCATGACTGACATTCCAGAAGAGGCCATTGAGGAGCCGCAGGAAAAGGAGGTACCCGTGCTGCAGGAGTCGTTGAATGGCGAGCAGACGGCCAACGACGGCGGGAATTCCGGCCTGAAGTCCGTGCTTTCGGTGGGGAAGACTCAGAGCTCGTGGCCCGACAGCAGCGACCGTCCAGTGGTCACCTTCAAAGAGAACATCAAACCCAGAGAGCAGAGCCGTGACCCCACAAGGAACCACCATCAGAAAGATGGTGGCAAGGAGCGCCGAGACTTCTCCAAAGGCAACGGGGCCGCTGGGAAAACAGAGCTGAAGAGGGACGGTAAGAGGAAGAGCGAGCTGAAGAAGAGCGTCCATGAGAAAACGGCCGATGCTGGAAAACAGGTAGAGACGCTGAAATATTTTCACTGACGAAGCTGCAGGTTTGAGCCGGCGTGATGATGCGTTTCCTTTCGCTCAGGTGAAGGCACAGACAGAGCTGAGGAAGACTCCGGTGTCTGAGGCTAAGAAGACTCCTGTCACTCAGACTCAAACCACCTGCTCATCCCAGTTCATCCCAATCCATCATCCAGGAGCCTTCCCGCCTCTGCCCAGCAGACCCGGTACGTTTGGACCTTTTTCTTTAAATTTAAACTTTAAATTTGAACTGGTCCCAGAGGCACCATTAGGGCGATTTTTGCATGTTCAATGGTGGGAAAGACCAGAGCTTCTGTCTAAAACGTGCACAGCCACATGCAGAATCTGCAGACTTCACACAGAGGGGCTCAGCCTGGGTTTGAACCACTGAGCTCGTCCAAACTTTTTTTGTTGTTGAACTTCAGACCAAACTGTGGGTCTGCTGACCTCATCTTAAACGAATACGCCTCTCCGTGAGCTTCATCTCTGTTGTCTCTGTGGCTCCAAACTCTGATCCCGATCGCTTCCTCTGCAGGTTTCCCTCCCTCAGCCTATGTGATCCCTTCTCCCGTGGCCTTCCCTGGACTCCAGGTGAATCCGGGCTTCACCTTCTCCACCGGTGTGTCCGTCCCAGGGCCTTTCCTCCAGCAGCCTGTCCACACCCAGGCGGGCACCCAGGTCCAAGCTGGGAAGCAGTCTCACATTCCCTACAGTCAGCAGAGGCCCTCGGGCCCGGGGCCCGGTCAGGGGCTGGGATCCTCGGGACACGGCCCGTCCCAGGCTCAGCAGGGCCAGACTCAGACTCCCTCCCAGCAGGCCTTGCAGCCGTCAGTCCAGCTGACGATGAGTCAGCAGCAGTCACCCACCAAACCAGTCCAGCAGGTTGGGATGGGAAAGAGTCCACCTCACCACCCAGGACTGCAGCAGGTCAGGTCACATGACTGTCACTACCTTCATACAGTCATCAGCTGAAAGAGCGATTAACTCGGCTCCTAAACTGATTCCTGTTTGAAAGACTCGCGGCTGAAACACTTCTTTTTCCATTTTTTTAGTGAAATGTGATGTTTATGCTCAGAGTGCCTCTTTCCTGCTCACAGCTTTTATAGTGAGCATCGCTAATGAACTTGAGCACAACCAGCGTGCCTCGTTTCTCCTCTGTCTCTGTGCTGACCCCTCCCAGGCTCTCACACTGAGGCAGCTCATTGTTTACCTCAGCGTGTTTTACTCTCTTTACATCCATTAAATGTAACTTGGTTTCAGGTCTCAAAATATCAAAAACATGGAAATCTGAGTGTGAGCGCCTCAGATTTGAACTGTCCACTGATGTTTCCTTCTCGTTGTGTTCCCGCCCTGAGCAGTACATGCAGGTCCAGGAGCAGTCGAGTCACATGTGGAACCAGGCCCAGGCGGCCCTGCAGAAGGTGTCTCCCATGCAGATGCCCATCAAGCAGCCGCAGCAGCAGAAGCAGCAGCAGCAGGCCTTCTACATGGCAGCTCAGGATCCTCTGAAGATGTACGAGCACCAGCTGCAGTCGTCGGCTCAGGTCTCCAGCATGGACAAGAAGATGAAGTACCCCGACGTGAAGTTACAGGACTTCTACTGGGACTCGTCTTACAGGATCGGGGACAGCCTGGCTGTGCTGGCCGACAGAATGAAGAGGCCATCGCCGGGGGGTATCTGCTCAGAGCAGGATGGGCCCCGGGGACCCCCGTTTGAGGTGAGCTGCTGTCAGCAGACGCAGAGGGAGGAGTTTGTTTTGCTGCTTTTTGCTTTTTCTGCTTCTTTTTCTTTATTTTCCTGCTTTTTTTTTTTTTTTTTTTTTTTTTTCTTTTAACTTTGGTTTTTTATTTATTTATTTTTTAGATGAACTAAAATCTAAATCTAAACTTGGGTGTAACTGTTGTTGCAGTAATCGTTTCTCCTGATTCAGGCTGTTAAAATTTGCCAAAAGTCACGTTTGTACTATTTAAATATTATTTATATATCGCACATAATATTTAAGTATCGCATTAATTCCTCAAGAAGGAAAAGAGAGGCGTGATTACTTGTGTCGGTGTGTTTCAATAAAACATGCCTTCTCCATAGCTACACATTACAAAGTAAATGGAGAAATTTGATTGGCTTATATGTACATCTAGGGCTGGGCCATATTATACCGTTCACGGTAATACTGGTACAACGCTAGGCAACGATAAGAAAATGACATATCGAGATAGAATATGGGTAAAACGCGCATGCGCAGTGCCGAAAAAGCACGGAGAACGCACGGTAACGGAGAATGTGAACGGGGAAAGTAGATTGTTGAGTGAAACGGATGAGCCAGGATTGTTTTGTAAAAATGGTGCAACTTAACTGGTTTGGTGTTTGTCCGTCAGATACACAACAAAGCACTTTTTTTCTTTGTACAACATGCAAGCGGCCATCGTTATTGCCGTATTTGTTGGACCAAGGTGCTTGTAAATCTGGGAGTAATCTGGGTCCTAAACTCCATCCTTTAAAGTCCCGAAGTCAAACGAACATCACTGAGAGTTTAAAATTGTCTAAATTCTTTCATCTTTAATAAAACGATCAGCATTGCTGCTTTACCAGGTGTAACTATGACGTTTAACTTCCAGGCATCCATGAAAACAAAAGTTATTACATTTAACGGAGTTAGAAGTTAGCAGGAAGCTAGCGGAAGTTAGCTCGCTAGTTTCGCTAGTTACCTAAGCATGATATTGCATGTTCTGACTGAGAGATTTCTGAAAACATTCAAACGTACAGCTCTGCTATCACTTCCAACATAAATGAAGACAGGAAACTAAACAGCAGTGACGTTTGTAGGGTTACTGAAGTTGGGCTAGCTGGTATATAATGATGTGCTACGTGGTGGCTAGCGACACAGCTATGTTAGCATAACATAAACAGTGAAGCTGGAGGACGAACACTAACACTTTCCCACTCGATAAAAGTTAACGTGATGGTTCCTGATAGTTAGAGACAAATGCAATCGCATGGCAGGATGCTGTAAACGGACTAAACTTCAGTCAGGAGAACAACTGAGATAATCCATCCACAATACGAGGTTAGTCATTAATATACTGCAACAACATGGGAATAGAGCCGCTGTGATAGAATACAGCATTAATGAATCAATGGTACAGAAGTGGAGGAAACAAGAAGAATGAGTTTAATAAAGTTTGATTTATCTGACTGCTTTGTTTCGCTTAATGTGCCTTATAATCCCGTGCACCTTAAGGTCCGAAAAATACGCACTGCACACTGCAGTTTAATGTTGCAAAGCTCCTCTTTTTAACTTCAGTGGATATTATACATGGTTATGCTCAGTATATGTCAGCCCATTTCTACTGGAAATGCCTTTTGGTTAAACTTTCAGCAAGGAATTTGCATTTGCACTGTTAAATGTTTATAAAGCCTTAATGCACATAAAAACAGCTGCTTGTTTAAGTAAAAGGAATGGATGGTTTTTTTTGCACTAGTAAAGTTGTGGAGTTGCATTTTGTCTCGCAGACATTATATCGTTATATCGTTATCGCAAATTTTCAAATATATATCGTGATATATATTTTTGGCCATATCGCCCTGCCCTATGTACATCAGTCATTTTCCAGGTAATCTGGGTTTAAATGAGATTAAATTAGATTTTTAAAGAATTTCCTGCCAGTATAAAAATGTTTTTAGAAAAGTTTAATGGACCCACACTTCTTTTCCTCTGCCTCTCACAGAAGGTTGATGAATTTGAAGCTCACTCTATACTGATATCAGAAACTCTGTGGTAGTTTTCCGCATGTGTAAAGAAACCTGGTCATGAGCAGACACTCGGAATTGTTTAGTGATGATTTTTCTTTTTTCTCTGTCAGCTTGCAAGCTTTGGTAGCCTTCAGCGTAACTTCCCTTTTCTCCACCTCGGTCTTACTGGCTTGCCTTCTTTCATTTTCTGTTCTTTACATTTCCCCCTCTCATTTTCTTTCTTCTTTCTGTTCTTCCTCTTCTTGCTTCATCTCTCACTAGGACAACAAGAGCTCGCCTCTTCTACCTCCTGACCTGTTAAAAACTCTAGCAGATTTTGAGGAGGAGGAGGAGCTCGTCTTTACTAAGCCTCCTGATTTCTTCCAGGCCTTGGCTGGCCCTCTTAGCACTGCTCCTGGACCAAATATATTTGTATGTAGCCCTGTCTTCCTCACCCAGCACTCTTCCCCATCCTTAAACCCTGACTTCCCTGCATCTAGTCTGAAGCCACCCTCTGCTCACCAGAGCTGCTCACATTTCCAGATGTTAGAGTTATTGTCACAATCTGCAGAATCCTCACATTTAGAGGGACAAAGGAGTTCATCCCAGCATGCAAGCATCATCCTTTGATAGACCTTACCTGATATGAATTTGGCTGATCTCCCAGCAGAGGTCACCCTCTCAGGTGTATCTAGACACCTTCCAGCTCAGCTGCTATGTTTAGATCGCTCCCAGGAAGTCGTGTTTTAATCACAGACTCACCCTCTTCTTGCTTATAAAAGCTTCAACTAAAAAAAACTACAGCCGAACTGTTTTTAGCCGCAAAGTCCAGCCGTGTTCATCCTTTGACTTTTATGGGGTTGTGCACCTTGAAGTCGTCTTCCACGGTGCCAGTTTTTACTTGTAGTTTAATGTCAGAGCTATCTGAGGGAACCAAGGGTCAAACTGACGCCTGCGGCTCAGAGTGCAGGGTTAACTCCGCCCTTCTCAAAATGAAAATCAAGTTTAAGGATGGTGTTGTCGGAGCTGTAGCGCTCCTCACTGAAGCTCAGATACACCAGGACAGAACTTCCTCCCAAAGCCGTAAAACTCATCCAAGCTGAAAACTGCTCTGAGGTGCACGACGGTGATCTACAACGAGAGATCAGCCAAGTTTATGTTGGGATTGGACTTTAGAGGTCAAACTGAAACATGCCTCATAGTCTCATTGATTTACTTCTAAGATGTTCAATGTTTTGAAGCACAGCTTGAATTTATTAATTAAAAGTATTCTCAGTCTTTGTTACGCTGACCTGGCCTTGTTTGTGACAGAAGTAGAGAGCTAACAGTGGAGGGGATTTTTCTGGGATGAGGCGGCTTCAGTAATCGCATGCTGTATGTTTTCAAACTTTAAGAGAAACACGGGGAAACAGCTGGAGACTGAAATATTATGGACCCTTTTTTCGGAAACAAATCAATTGAAACTGATTTGGGTTTCCAAATGTGAGGCTTGAGTTAGGAGAGCTGTGTTTAAGATTTGAGTGATTGATTACCGACGCATTTAAATTCCTGCAATGACTTTCAAGGATCCAGTTTGGAAACCTCAGAAACCACCAGCTGCACATCACAAAGATTTACTTGATGTGTGATGCAGCTGCTTCACAATAAAACTCCTCCCCGGGGCTTTTACTGTGGAACAGCTTCATGACTCACTCCTGCACTGATCTGAGGTCAGTCATCATCTTCTCTCTCTCCAGCTGCCAAACCAGACCCGAGTGGACAGCGGCCCCGAGGTCATCAGCCAGTCGTCCTCTCTGCTGCCCATACCCGGCTTCCCCATGCAGGTCAGAGCCTTGGCCTCGGTCCTGCTGACCTCTCCAGCTCTACTTAATGCAAACACACACCATCACACATTCTTGTGAGACTCGATATTTGCGCAGAGTTTAGTTTTTAAGACCATCAGCCTGAGAAGAATGATGATGTTGACTGCGTGACTCTGCTTTAGTGAATAGGATGGATTAATAGTCAAATGAAATAAGTGAGAGTGGCAGGTACGACCACAGTGAGGAACAAACACAAAGAGTTTGCAGGCAATAAATGACAGCATCGGTTCACGGATGGTAAATGTGAACATTTGAATACTCGTGGTTTGCTCAGCTTGTTAGCAATAGATGATGTCACTGAAGTCTTCCTTCATAATAATGATAAATACGAGGCTGACGGCAGCTTGTGTTTGTGTGCAGGAGTACAACCAGAACAGCATCTTCAGTCAGGCCTACGGTAAAAACCTGCCGCCCAGCTCCAAGCCCGACGCTCCCATGGTGCACCAGGAGACGTCCCTCTACACGCTGTTTGAGGGCACCCCGTGGTCCCCTTCTCTCCCCGCCAGCTCAGGTACGTCACAGAGATGTGATTAATATTCATTCGTGCTGGGCGGAACGTGCGGCTAATGGAAACTGTGCTCTGATTGGCAGATCACTCTACGCCAGCCAGCCAGTCTCCTCACTCGTCCAATCCCAGCAGCCTGCCGTCTTCCCCTCCAACCCACAACCACGGAGCCATGCCTTTCTCCAACTTTGGGCCCATCGGGACTCCGGACAACCGGGACCGCAGGGGAATGGACTGCTGGAAGGCCAGCAAGAGTGGTGAGCCTGGAAAATGCTCTTGCTAACGGAGCCGTTTGATGTCTGTGATCCTTTAGATTTTGACCATGTTTGGTTCAGTTTAACTTTTTCAAAGCAAAAGTCTACGGTTTAACATTTTTATCAGAGGAGCAGCTGATCAAGAAGCGAACACTGTGGGCCAATAAACAGCCAGTAAAGGTCACGTGACAGAAGGGCCTCACGTGTGCTCGTTGTGTTTCAGGAGCAGTCGGCGGATTCGGTCTGGACTACCTGCCAACCACGGCCTCCTCTGCATCAGACAGCAGCTGGCACCAGGCTGGATCGACGGGCAGCTCCTGGACCAATCAGGACTCTCCAATGGAGGAGTCGTCCTCCACCGTGCTGCTTGACAGCCTCAAGGTAACACCAGGCCCACAAGTTCAGACGCCTGAGAAGAAATGAGTCGTGTTTATCGTCTGACTCGCTGATGTTTTCTCCCTTGTGCGACCTCTGCTGGATTTAGCCTCACGCTAACCCTCTGCCTTCGCCCACAGTCCATCTGGTCGAGCTCCATGATGCAGCCGGGCCCTTCGGCGCTGGAGCAGCTCCTCCTGCAGCAGAAGCAGAAGCAGCAGCGAGGTCACGGCGCCATGAACCCGCCTCACTGAACGGCAGCGCGAGGCGGCGCTTTGTGTCCGGACGTCAACAAACCACCACCAGGAGAAACGGAGGGGAAAAAAACCACAGATGTTTGACGAAAACAAGCTCCAACTCAAATTAAACCGGCGAGAAACGGTGGAGGCTGGGGAGGCAACACGACCCCCCGACGAGGCTGAATCACCACCCCCACCCCCCTCGGCTGTCAAGGAGCGGTGACGCCCCTCCTGGATCGGAGGGCGCGGGATCTCTTCGACCGCGGTGCCACGCACCACGCCACCGCCGGGTTTCATTCAACCGGTGGAAATCTGAACATTGAGGAACCACCCCCCCTTCACATCACTGCCCCCCCGTTATGGACAGACGCCACATCTCCACGAACTCGTCATCTGGAAGAACTTCTTCTTCTTTCTTTGGAAAAAGATAAAAAAAAAATTAAAACGGAAAAAAGAACGACCTCCTGGACGTCTGCTCGGTCCCGATGGAGAGCCGGTTTTTAGCATCTCCGCCGCCGCTGTAGACTGAAGCGGGGCCGTTCGAGAGCCAGAATGATGTGGTTGTCGGGTTTGGGGGGAGGCCAGGTGATGCACGGGGGGGTCAAAACAAGACTGGACTTTCTGATCTCCATTCATTTTCATTACTGAGGAGGGAGGAAGGAAGAAAGGAAGGAAGGAAAGTTTTCAGCTATATAAATATATACGTGAATATATATTGCCATAGTTGGACTTGTGTCTTAGCCGTGAGAATCAGGACTGGACGTTGTGAAGCCGGGTGTAACGCCTCCCGGGCTGAGCGCCCGCTTGTGTCGGTGCCCGACGACGGGGTGGCTTCACGATGAACATCGCAGGAAAGACTGAGGAAAGATCATAAACACCCTGTCGACCGTAGGGATAGTGTCACTGTTAGCTTCAAGAGATTGCAGTTATTAACAAAAAAACACAAAAAATAGAAAATGTACTTTGTGATTTGTTCGTAGCCGTTTTAGCTTTGCGCCCTCCGGGTGATACAGGTATGTCTATTAGCTTCCTGCTTGGATATTTTCGGGGTTCTCTTCCTCTCTGACCTCTTCTTCCTGTTATTTCTTTACGTAATGAAGAAAAAATGGAAATATGTAACCCTGCTTGCTTACCTGCATTTACTGTTTGTTTTTGTTGCCGTTCTTCTTCACTGGTTTTATGCAGCTCGCCCAGAACGTTTTCTATTATCCTTTCTTGGAGAAGCACGACTGCAGCTCGAGGCTGTGCAGCAAATTTGTTTTTTTATTATTATTATGGAACGGAGCGTCTGGAGACCCTGTAGCTCTGCTTTTATTGAACCTGTGAGTGAAGCCCCGCCCCCTTCAGTGTAAAGCCACCCTAACCAGACTCAAAAGCTACCAAGAAATAACAGCTAAAAAAGTGTATTTGATTACTGGTTAATCTGCAGGTTCCAGTAGGCCAAAAATATTTCCCGGTTTGCTGTAAAATACAGAAATATTTAGTTTAATGACATAAAAGTAAAAACATGCAGAAGGTGGTGAGGCGGTGAGGACACGCTGAGTAACTCGCTCAGCACAGGCAGAGTGAAATATGAAGCAATTAAGAAATTATTTTAATGAAGAATCTATTTTCTTTATTTAATCAGTGAATCATTTGTGACGACTAAAAATTCCTTCAGTGTTTCGTTTCCTGCTGCTTCTAACCAATCCTGTAAGAGCGGCTCAGCTTCCTGTGACTGACAGAAAAAGGGCGGCGCTCTCATGGTCCTTCGCCGTTGCTGCTCTCCTTTCGTTCTTTAAGGGTTTAAAGATTCATTTGATTTTTTTCTAACAAACCTGCAACGTCGTTCAGAAAAAATGTAAAACGTCTAACTCGCTGATGAACGGACTTCTTGTTGCTTTCGCTTCATTTGAAAGAAGAAGGTTCACCTGCAGCCCAGTTTGATCTCACGCCAGTAAAACCAGAGCAGATATCTTTTTAAAATAGTTTTCGCTTCAGTGGAAAGAAGTACTGAAACCTTGCGAAAGCAAATCTTTGAATAATTGAGAGCAGATCACGAGCAGCTCTGCAGGGAAACAAAGTCTGCTTTAAACACTTTAGCTCCAAACACCAACGTCAGTATTTCACTTGTCTATTAATCAGCAGTGCAGTTTATTGAAAACATGTAATTATTAAGGTCTTTACTGCAGGTTTCACTTTTCAGAGGAGTGCGTGGGGGCGGGTCGGACCTGTGGAAAAGAAAAACCATCACAGAGTCCGCGTGAAACTTTGGATCTGCAGTCTGTGTGCTTTGTTTCATAACCTAAGGATTTAGCCCCAAATAGGTTTCACCGTTTTGTTTAGTTTATCCAAAAAGTCACGAGGTTCCAAACTGACGGGGAAAACAGGATAGCTCACTAACTGTCCTCTGAAACATCGTTCAGGCCGCCAGTGACCAGGTTTCAGGGCTGCGCGTAAACGTGAAAATGTTCTTTCAAATGAAGTCTCGTACGCCACCTTTGACGTCACGGTTTTCTGTGCTCGGACGACGGGAATGTTTATGTGTGAGCAGCAGGATCCTAAACAGATTTAACGTTGCCATGACACCAAACAGTTTCTCCTCATGAATACTGAAACGTTTTTCTGTCCTGTGACCTCTGAGCTACAGTGAAGTTGAACCATTGAGCTCAAGCTGCCCTCAAGAATCGGCTGGCCTGTGTTTGCTTCGACTTTGTGATCACGTTGTGGGAAAACTCAGGATCTGATGTAAACGCATCACGTTAGGAGCTGAACAAAGTTCACGGCTCAGTTTTTATCAGCCACTAACAATAAAGTGTTCAGTGTGGTATCATCAGCACACTTGTGTTTCTATATTTGCCGTTTAAAAAGATAAATACTAATTTCCAAACTGAGGCACTGAACTCAAACCCTTCCCCCGGCCCGGGTAATGATGACCTGCTGGATGTTATTCGCTTCGTTACTGTGGCTCGCCCTTCATTAAATGACGCAGGCAGAGGTTAGACTGCAGGTGTCTTGTTTTTATATTTTTGCCGTCGTATTTAACCGCTTTAAAACAACAAGCCAAACTCGATCCTCGTCCATCTTTAAGTAGATTTTTAGGTCTAAACGAGTTCCCGGGAAGGTTCATGCGGTGGGAACGGCTGATGCTGGATCTGGGGGCATCTGTGGCGTCACGCTGTCATTATTTTAGAGCGACAGCTGGCTAATCAGGATGCCAGGCTTGAGCAGGATTTGACAGTTTGAACCGACAGGAAACAGTTTTCCATGTTTAGAAAATAAAGTTCTGAGGAGGAAGAAATGAAAGCCTGTTTTTATTTTCCTGGTGGGGCATTTTACGAAAGCGGACTTCAGAGAGACGTGTCTGTTCTCTGTGTGATTGTGCTTTTCATGTTGCATTTACAAAGTGTATTTGAACAATAATAAAGATAAAATATTCCTGAACGTGAGGGCGAATTCGACCAGAAGTGTCAAGGAGAAGATCCTCTTTGTTTTCGTGTCAGAAGCTCACCACGTAGATCTCTGCTGACTCTCATATGAGTTACTTGATGTACTTGGATCGTCGATGACATTCCACTCGGAGATGTTTGGGAGGCTTCAGGGCGGCAGGTCCTCGTCGGTTTGTGCTCTGACAGCAGATTTGTAGTCACGTTTGAGATCTGAGCTTTACTTTAAGGCTTTTTGTGTTTCTGTCTCTCTGTAGACTTTCAGAAAAGATTGAATCAGACTTTAAATAAAAACCAACTATGTTCTCCTTTAATGCTGGGTCCAGTTTTCTGTGTGTTGACCACCAACCTTTAAATCAGGCCGTTAGCGTCGTTTCAGTCCAGAATCGGTTCAGGAGCTGGGTGTGGAGACGGGGTCAACCCTCGTGTTCAAATTTGACAGATTTAAACATTTTATCTCTAAAAGAAATGTCGCATGAGCATCAAGACGTCTAAAGAATGTCTGTTTAAATTGATCTGAGCTTCCATGTCTTTGTCCACAAAGAGGACTTCAACACACAAAATGTTTTAGTCTACATACAATTTTGTGTGTTTTTATCCAACATTCGTACACTCTTGGTGTTCCTAGTCAAAGATGACCGGTCATTACAAATGAATGGAGCAGACACCAGTTGGTGTAAATGAGTTCAGGTACATCCCCGTTTCTCAGATGGACATAGCAACACACATCGTTTGGGTTTCCTGGCAACCACCATAGGAACATTTGGCAATAGAGCCTCTTTTGCTTGGGAACAACTGTGTTGGTCGTTCTCACAGACAGCTGTGACAGATGTTTTTGAGGCCTTGCTCACAGATCACTGTGTGGCAGCACCGTGGCTGGTCGAGTGAGTGGTGAGGAGGCGAGAGGCCAGGAAATACAAAGTGAGGAAGTGTTAGAAGCTGAAAATGGCACGAAATATCATCCAGACCAAGAAATGATGAGGAGAAATTCAGTGAGAAGAGAATGACCACGGTGATGGTGCTGTCACAGAGTGGGAACTTCTCCCCACTTAAAAGTTAAGCTTTCAGCTGAAAGTCTCATCAGAATGACCACAGACAAAAGTATCAAGGATGTGGGACACGTAAAAACCAGCTTGAAGGGAAAGCAGATTTACAGAGACAACTGCAACGAGATAAGCCTGAAAGAAACCAAAGCACATGTGAGTCTTTTGATTTTTGGTGTTGTGCACAGAAAGTCATTCACCAACAGTTTACGGGATACAGAGTAAAGTCGGAGGTAAAGACCAGGCTGTCGACAACAAGGTAAGCTGGCAGTGATCAGAGAGGTTTGGAGCCTATATCAAAAACGTCGCAGTGGACGAGAATCGGGTGGCTTTAGGAGATGCTGCCCCTTCAAACAGTGTAATTATTCATACTCCTGGCAAATTTTGATTTAGTTACTTTTATTCAACCAGCAAGTTTTGTTTTGTTTTTTGTGACACAGGCATCTCCCAAAAGATAAGATGACGTACAAGAGGCATCACTGTGGGAAAAAATATTTCTCAGCTTTTATTTACATTTGAGCAAAAAGTGTCATGTCCAGAATTATTCATACCCTTCTCACTATTCCATAGAAAAGCCTTTATTGGCTATTACAGCAATCAAACGCTTCCTATAATTGCCGACCAGCTTGTCTCCACAGGTGTTTTTGCCCGTTCATCTTTAGCAATGAGCTCCAAATCTTTCAGGCTGGAGCGTCTTGTTGCCATCACCCTGATCTTTAGCTCCCTCCACAGATTCTCAGCTGGATTCAAGTCAGGACTCTGGCTGGGCCACTCCAAAGCATTAATGTTTTTGTCTGCTAACCATTTCTTCACCACGTTTGCTGTGTGTTTTGGGTCAGTGTTGTGCTGTTTCTCTGCAGACTGCCTGATGTTGTTGAGAATCTTCATGTATTGCTCTTTTTTTTCATGGTGCCGTTTACTGTGATTAGGTTCCCTGGTCCATTTTCTGAATAGCACCTCCATAGCATCAGGTTCCCACCACCATGTTTGACAGTGGGGATGGTGTTCTTTGGGATGAAAGCTTCTCCTTTCTTTGTCCAGACGCCTTATCTGAATCGTGTGTCGTATCTGAAGAAGTGGCGTCCTCCTTGATCTGCATCCTTGGAACCCAGCAGTGTGCAGTGTCTGTTGGACTGTCTGCTTCGAGACATTGGCTGTGTCCCAATTCAGCGACCGCACGCTTTGTAGTACGCATTTGTAGACCGATTACGTCACAGCGACGCGACGAAGGGTGTCCCAATTCGAAGTGTACTCCAAATGTGGTCGACAAATGTGCAGTTCATTTCCCCAAATTTGAAGTGTGGGCTGTATCCCAATTCAGGGTCTGCAGCCTTAAAAGACACCATGCTGAGAACTGGCTTTGGACTTTCAAGTACAACATTATACCAACAACTTCAGATGAGACATCCTTACTGGTGTAACATTTTCTCAGCGAATGTTTGCTTTTCCCGTTACATGGTGGTGGTAATACACAGCACTTTTATGTTTTTATTCTGAGTGGTGGGTGTGAAGATATCTTGCCAGTTGCCCGGCAGCTCCCTTCGAAGTGAAGAGGGGATGTTATGCGTCAGGTTCTGGGGGACGCGTTTTGGGGGGAAGGGCTGGGGTATGTTTTCATTTCCTCCTTGGGATGATGAATCCTGCTATGTTTGGAAGGAGAAGGGCTGAATCAAATTCAAAGATCTTTATATAGATGGAAAATTTGCATCATTTAATCAGCTTAAGCAAAAGTTCAATTTACCGCCTTCACATTTTTACCGTTACCTACAAATCAGGCATTTTATGCAATCCAATATGAAGAATTACCAAGATGTTCCACATGAACATTTTTTAATGTGCTCCTGAGCCCTCCTTACTCCAGTCGTTTGATTTACACTATTGTACATTTGTTTGATGACAGCATTGAAGTGCAGACTACGAGGATAAGAGACGCTTGGAGGGAGGAATTGGTTATAGAAATATCAGAATCAATGTGGGACAAATGCTTATCAAAGATTCATTCCTGCTCTGTTAACAGCAGACATCAGTTAATACAATTTAAAATTGTCCATCGGCTACATTACTCCAAGGTTCTACACAAAATTTATCCTTCAACTTCCCCATATGTGACAGATGTAAAGTATCAGAGAGCACATTGGCTCACGCTTCCAGGCATTGACCAACTTCTGGTCCTAAATATTTGATTGGTACTCTAAAGCTTACGGGATCTCCATCTCACCCAATCCAGAAATTGCAGTTTTTGACTGTGCACGTTCCAGATTATGGATACTTGTAGTTTCTAATCTCTCTTTTTTTTTGTCCTTCTCTATTGATTATTATTGTGCTATTTCTTGTCCTATTATCTCAGCACTTGAGCTGTATTTGTTTGTTGATGGGTTTCTATGCTGGAAAAATTAAAATAAAATATTGAAAAAAATTGGCAAAAACATTCAAATGTACCTGTTTTAAGATTTCAGTGTTTTTAAAAAAGATAAAGTGAGCTATCAACAGAACGCAAAACAATTTCATGCTGTCACTTAAAAAGAGATTAACTGACATCAGGCAACACTTTACTATGCAATACCACTTTACTACCACAAGATGGTGCAGTGACTATTTAACCAGGTAATTCATTAAGAGAAAATCTTGTTCACAGTGTCGGAGAAAAGACAAACCCTCCTGAGTAATGCAGATGAAGCTTTCTGTTCACCTGAAGAGACTGGTATCTTTATTTACTCTTTAGAGGTTTTCACAACACAGCATACACGAAATACAAATGACTGTTGTGGAAGCTGCTAATGTCAGTACGGCTTGAAATATCCATGAAAACTATGTGAGTTCCTCATCTTACACCCGGGAACATGAAGTAGAACAAAAGAACAGCCAGAAGATGCTGACGACCAAAGATGAATGGCTCTTCAGATCTGATCTGCTGCAGTGAGAGTCTGCTGCGACGCCCACAGTGACAGGAAACACCAAAACTGTGTACAAAAACACACTTCTGCACACTGCTCAGCTCCACTGGGGGCGACATCATCCAGTAGGCGGGGCTCTCCTTCTGCACTGTGTTCAACCATTGTGTCAATAATAAGTGCTGCTGTGAAGAGAACAATTCTCAGACTGAATGTTGAACATCAGCTAGTTTCTCCTGTTGATTTAAACCTTGTTGTACAGATGGAACATTGGCTGTGGATTATTCTTGCTGCTCTTTTCTTTGGTGAGATACAAACATCAACATGTTTCCTCTGCTTAAATAAATGTGTGAGTCTGATTAATGGTGACTTTTTAATCATGTTTATTGATCCATCTCTTCCTCTGCATGTTCTGTTCTTCCTCAGAGTGTAAAGGAGAAGACAAAGTGATCCAGGAACAAGGAGATGTCATTGCTGCTGAAGGAGACACAGTTACACTTGACTGCAAATACGAAACAACTTCTGCATATGCGACATATTTGTTCTGGTACAAACAAGATGTGAACAACTTTCCAAAGTATGTTTTAAGGCGAGACAGTACGGGAGCTGAAGAGAATGCTCGAGAGTTCCCGAAGGACAGATTTGATGCTGAGCTCAACCAGACATCAGTTTCTCTGAAGATCCAGAAGCTTCAGCTGTCTGACTCTGCTGTGTACTACTGTGCTCTGCAGCCCACAGTGACAGGAAACAGCAAAACTCTGTACAAAAACCTTTGGAGCAAAGACAACAGAATACTCCACAACATCCACTAGAGGGAGCCACACACTGTTAAACCTCTGATTCTTGTGTCATTGGACTGATGACAAAGACAACAGAGAAATGAAGCAGTAAAGATCAGAGACAGAGACAGAGCTGCTGTGGAAGCACAAAACTATTTGATTGGCTGAGCTATTAAACTGTCCCCGCCCACTGAAGTTGAGCTCATCCAATGACATTATTTGTTGGTCATTGTGCTGCAGTGGAAGAACATTGTTCATGTGCTGTCTGTCTGGCTTTAATAACTCCAAAGACATGTTGCTGCACCTCTTTTTGCTTCTATCTCACATTATAGGTGAGTTTAAGAACAGGGATTAAAGTTTAGTTGAAGCTGCTGCATTAAGCAGATATACAGACTGCATTTCACTACTTTTCTTCTTTCTTTTTCCAGGACTAACAGCTGGAGACTCAATCACTCCTCAACAACCTGAAGTCACTAAAACAGAAGGAGAATCGGTCACACTCACATGTAGCTATGAGACAGATGCAGGTGGTGCTGACCTTTATTGGTACAGACATGATTCTGACCTTCAGGCTCCTCAGTTTATACTCAGGAAAGAAGCAAGATCATGGAGTGGTGAATATATTCCTGATGAACGATATGGATCCCAAACAACACCTACATCAACTACTCTGACCATAACAGCCCTAACCCTGGCAGACACAGCTCTCTACTACTGTGCTCTAGAAACACAGTGATACAAAGTGTAGAAGAGGCTGTACAAAAACCTGAACACAGATATCTGACTACTCTTCAAAGAGGAGGGAAGTGGTATTCAAAGCACAGCTTCATATCAGATGGATTCTGCTAATTCCTGTTTTATCAGAGTCACTGTGGTTACAGCTGCTAATGAAACACTGTGGGAGGATTCACATGAGCAGCAAATCCACATCAACCACAAACCAACACTTTATATCAGCATCAACAGTCAGGAGGAAACATCGTCGCTGTCTGTGGTCCTGAAATTCAAAGCCTCTGAAGTGTAAATGTTGTGAAGCTGAAGGAAAGAGATTCACTTCCTGGTTAAATAAAGGATAACATTAATTCAGTATTTCTTTTCTCAGTGTTTGTTCTAGAGTTGAAATGAAGCCTGATGAAAAATAAAAATGTATTAAAAGTCTTTAATTTTTGTCAACATACTGCAGGAAATGTTGATTCAGGTATTAGAGGATTGGCGGTTGCAGATTATCTTTGAGTTCCTCCAGCAAAGTGGGAATAATCGACACTCTCAGTGTGTTCTGATCTGATCTTCTGCTGGGATTAAAAATAAACGAACACAATCAAATCCTCTCCTCCTTAAACTTTACAGTCTGATATGGAAACTTGTGCAGACGCTTGTGCAACGAGACCAGCTGTAAAAATCACCGTGTGGATTTCTCTAACGTGTCGCTGCAGCTCGCTGGATTGTTTAACACCAACAGATGGTTCACTGCTCCAACAGACCCTGAAAGTTATTTTCTGTGGCTCCACCCCCTGATTTACTCAGCCAATGAGATGGTATCCTTTATGGATTTGACATAAAAAATGTACTGTTGACATTTATAAAGGGAGCTCAGTGAGAAGATTGATGTAAGAGGTGGAAACTCCTGACCTGACCCTCAGTTCTTACCTGTGCATTTCTGGGAGTTGCTTTCTCTAAGCGCACTACACTGGGAGGGGAATATTTAAGTCAAGCACACAAACTGATTTACTATTATTTTCAACACACAGTCTCTTTGTGCAGATATTTTACAAAGACAAGAAACGCGTCTTATACTTTGCGCTCGATATGGCAGAGTTAAAGCTGCACGGAGATTTAAGAGCTCATGCTAGAAGAGTGAATGCCAACAAAGATGTGATAAAAGCTTACAAATAACCAATTCACCCAACTCTAAATGTGCTCACTGTACTCAGCCCCCACTCTGTGTGGTTTATGTCTATGCTCTCCATTATTCTTCCGTTCAGCCACTCATTCATTGAACCCATCTCCTCCACATCTCCACCTCACCCAAATCAGTCAGAGCACCATCCGAGCCTAAATATTCATCTTCACCACCAGCAGCATCTAAAACGCCGGGAGTCCCGTCCTAGATTCTGTCACTGCTGGGACTCCATCAGAGTCCAATCTCCAAATACACTGATTAACTTCTCCATCTCAGAAAATCACGTTCAGTTCTTCCAAGTGATCTCTCCTTATTGAATTAATGTCACGTCTAAAGCACCAAACAAACACAAAACACAGCAAATGAAAAAAAAAAAATCTACTGGAGACTCGAGCTGGCAGAGCGCACACAATCAACCCTGAACTGAGTCAGAGTGAAAACATGAATTAGAAAGTTCTGAATCAAATACAAATTATAACCTGACATAAAATCACAAAAATATGCTGATGACATATTTTGATGCAGTTTAGTTTAAGACATTTTCTTCTTTGCCAAACAGAAACTTTGGGGCTCTCTTGGGTTCCCACTCTGATAAACACCAAATAGCAGTTTTCAGTGGAGAGTCCACAGTGTCAGAGTTTGAAGAGGAGGCATTAGATCATCTCCACAGTGAGCATGCAAATCTTTGGTTCCTAAAGAACTCAAAGGGTTGTTCGCTATGCATTTATCCCTCGGGGTCAGACTGTCAGCACATTCCACTGTAACGTCCTGCAGCGTCTGAGGGAAACATGCAGCACAAACCACCTGAACCTTGGAGCGTGCCGTCCATACAAGATGTGGGTCAGTTTCAAAAAGACATAGTGGAGAGATTATGAGGCCGTATTCAAACTGTTTTAATTCCCTTTGTCTGCAGTGAGATTATTATTCACAAGTGGAAACCATTTAAGCTGCCAATCATCCCAGGTGAGGAAGTCCCAGCAAATTCATCCCAAGGTCTGATCATGTGATGTTCAGTGAAACTGCAACAAACCCAAGAGCTACAGCTCAGACTCTGCAGGCCTCAGCAGGTTAACACAGGATGTACAAAAACACAAGGTACTGGAAGATTTTTCCACATGGCTCAGCTCCACTAGAGGGCGACATCATCCAGTAGGCGGGGCTCTCCTTCTGCACTGTGTTCAACCATTGTGTCAATAATAAGTGCTGCTGTGAAGAGAACAATTCTCAGACTGAATGTTGAACATCAGCTAGTTTCTCCTGTTGATTTAAACCTTGTTGTACAGATGGAACATTGGCTGTGGATTATTCTTGCTGCTCTTTTCTTTGGTGAGATACAAACATCAACATGTTTCCTCTGCTTAAATAAATGTGTGAGTCTGATTAATGGTGAGTTTTTTAATCATGTTTATTGATCCATCTCTTCCTCTGCATGTTCTGTTCTTCCTCAGAGTGTAAAGGAGAAGACAAAGTGATCCAGGAACAAGGAGATGTCATTGCTGCTGAAGGAGACACAGTTACACTTGGATGTACTTTTGCAAGTCAAACAACACCCACCTTGTTCTGGTACAAACAAGAAGTAAACGCTTACCCAAAATATATCTTGCGGAAATTTCTCTCTGGAGCAACAGATAAAGCCCCAGAGTTCCAGGAGGACAGATTTGATGCTGAAATCAACCAGACATCAGTTCCTCTGAAGATCCAGAAGCTTCAGCTGTCTGACTCTGCTGTGTACTACTGTGCTCTGCAGCCCACAGTGACAGGAAACAGCAAAACTCTGTACAAAAACCTTTGGAGCAAAGACAACAGAATACTCCACAACATCCACTAGAGGGAGCCACACACTGTTAAACCTCTGATTCTTGTGTCATTGGACTGATGACAAAGACAACAGAGAAATGAAGCAGTAAAGATCAGAGACAGAGACAGAGCTGCTGTGGAAGCACAAAACTATTAGAAGAAAAATAACTTTATTTATAAAGAACATTTTCTAACAATGTCGAACATTTACAGTTTGTTTGTCTTCTGAAGAAACAGAAACAAAACTGCTTCAGCTGTCAGATATCACCACTCCGACATCTGAGCTCATAACCCACAAACAACTGAGACACAGTAAAAAAGAATAACAGATATTTCAATCAGAGTCAGATATCGTCTTGTATCCTCTGGTTTTCAACAACACTCAGAATCCAAAGTGATGGAGGTAAAGTTTGTGCGACTCCGTCACAGGAGAAAATCTCAAAGGCTGCAGATGAAGACCATCAGCTGACAAAATGCTCCTCCAATTTTTTAATATTTGAATGTATTGTTATAAATTTACACAGTTGTAATAATATGACAAAGAAACTGCTGTAGAAAATCACTGAAAACATGCTGAACTCAAAGGTTGATTATAGCGTTATTAGAAAAGTTACAAAACCCTTCTTCCAGAATCGCAAAGCAATCTCCCAAAACTAGAAACTCCCTGAAATTCAAAAGGTCAAAAGAACGTTATCACAGATATAGCAGCAGAAATGAGCATCCTCTGAAGGGTGGTGCTGGCCTTCCTTAGTGATCGGGTGAGGAGGTCAACTGTTCATGAGGGACTTCTTACAAAAAAAAGAAAAATGAACAGATATTATCAGAACAAATGCTGCCAATCAGAATAGTTGTTGGAGTAGTGTAAAGGTGTTTGAAATACGGTTTTCCCCACAAAACTTTCAGCACTACGACTTCTGCTGTTTGTGGGTCTTCATGTGCAACGACAAATGATGACTCTGGCGGAACATTTTCCCACAGGTTTTACAGTGATACGGTTTCTCTCCCGTGTGGATAGTTTTGTGGCTTTTAAGTGACGTTGACAGAGTAAATCTTTCCCCGCAGGTCTCACAAACATATGGCTTCTCTCCTGTGTGCATTCTCATGTGGCGCAGAAGGTTACAGCGTGTAGTGAAGGTTTTCCCACATGCTTGGCAAGGATGAGGCCTCTCTCCTGTGTGGCTCGTGGTGTGGATTTTAAGCGACCCTGACGTTGTAAATCTTTCCCCGCAGGTCTCACAAACGTGAGGCTTTTCTCCTGTATGGCATCGCATGTGGCTCAACAAATTACTACCTCGACTAAAGGTTTTTTCACACGTTGTGCAAGAATACGGCCTCTCACCGGTGTGGATTCGCTGGTGGGCCATCAAATGACCACTTTGATTGAAAGACTTCCCGCATGTTTTACAAGAGTATGGCCTCTCGCCGGTGTGGATTCTCATGTGGTTCATCAAATCACTGTGTTGAACAAAGGTTTTCTCACACGTTTTGCAAGAATGAATCTTCTCTCCCGTGTGAGTTTTTGTGTGACGCAACAAAACGCTCTTTTCACTAAAGGTTTTCCCACACGTTTTGCAGGTATGATGCTTCTCGCTTGTTTGCATTCTGTGACGTGTCCTCTTTTGAGACTTTTTCTTGAAGGCTTTTTTACATTTTCTTAAGGGAAAACCATCTCCTTTCAAAGGCTGTTTACCTATATCAGTGTTACACTTATCAGCTGGCATGGGAGAGCTTTCTGTATCATTGCTCTGACTTCTGCTTCTATTTCCAGTCGAACCTGAATTGACATTCCTGCTTCCTTCCCGATCTTGGCTCTCAGCTACAGCAGAGCTGTGAGCAGCGAGCTGGTCACTGTCTGGTTCTGCTTCACTCTGGTTGCTTTCCCCCCAAGTAACAGTCACCTTAAAAATGGTATCATTCTCTTCCTTCACTACAACCTGCTCGTCCTCCTGACTGCTGCACAGTTCCTGCTGTTCCTCTGTACTCTGAGGAGGTTCTGGTTCCTCCCGGTCCAGTCTGGAGCTCCTCTCCTGGTTACAAAGCTGCTGCTCAGGAAGAACCTCCTCCTTACAGATATGCTGCTGTGCAAGGTCTGGAAGGACAGAAAGAGACAAGAAAAATAAACAAACACTGTTATGACAATAGGACATCACCATATATTCCTATTACTTAGTCAGCGTGTCAATCACCGTTCATTGTAGCAAGTTAGGGTTTCAATCCCAGCTGTTGTGGCAGTGCAGAGTACTGAGAAGCAAGGTTTCTTTCACTTTGTAAAAATGGCTCCAAATTAATGGATGTCTACACTAATTCAGTATTTTGGACTAACAAAACCAAGATGCCCCCCTCCCAATGATGAAACTAACTGACCACCGACTCGTTTAGTAGTACTCAAATGTAAATTATTTTCCTGGTTCATTACAAACCACCAGTGCAGTGCTGTGAAATAAATGCACTGTGATTAACCAGGTTTTTTTCCACTGCCAACATGCAGGCCTCGTTACTGCCAGACCTGCTGAATGAAAAAAAAAGAAGAAGCCATCTGACAAAGTGATTCCAGCGAACCACAGCAAGAGCCAACGTGAACCTTCCTCAGAGGAGCCGGCCTACCAAAATCTCTTCAAGAGCACAGCAACAACTCATCCAGGATGTCACAGAAAAACAGAACACATAAAGAACTTAGCTCAATATTCAACAGCAAGACAGAATCTGGGAGACCAGACGAGACTAAAGTTGAACTTTCTGGAAGGTTTGAGTCCCGTTTTAAGTGATGTAAAACTAACACAACATTTCAAAAAAGAACGTCATAGCAACAGTCAAACATGGTGGTGGCAGTGTGATGCTGTGGGGCTGCTTTGCTTCTGGGTGACGACCAGAAAGCCCTGACGGAAAATCCCAGTCCGACTTCAAAGTCTTAAAGGATTTCCGCACCGTTGTAAACCTTCCAAATGCTGAACTGCAAAACTTTGGAACAGCTTTCTGCCTCCACTCTTGAGTCACTGGCCTTATGTAAGCATCTCCTCTTCATGTAATCTTTGTGTTTTGTCTTGATCTAATCAAAATGTAACTTTTAAAGAAAAAAAATTCTTAAACACAAAAAATATCAAACTTTTTTGAGTACAGTCGAAGGTCAAAGTCAAATAAAATTAAGATTTATATGGAATCTAAATTAAGGCAAAAAATGTACCTTTACTCTGTTTTCTTGGAAAAGTTTCTGACATTAAGTTTTTGTGCTGCTGAGAAGAGCACAAACATCAATTAATATTAATAATAATTCAGTGTCAAACTAACAACCCTCGGGCCCGTGGCTCAGAGTTTATTGGTTCATGTACAATTTTACTGACTTGTCAAAAAAGCTTTTATTTGCATATTTTAAAAATATTAATGCAATTTAATTGATAAAATATTTTATATTATTTCACTTTTAATTTGAAAAATGTTATGAAAGCCTAGAAATGAATACGGTGGATTACACCCCACGCCCCCCTGCAGACTTAAATCTGGAGGCTGTGAGGACTTAATGTTGTTTATTCACACGCTGCTCCTGAATCTGTTTGTATTGCAGGTCTGTGTTTAGTTGCTAAAGTGGATGAAATGCTCGTGTTTACATCATTTAACACATCGGCGTGCAACAGAGCCGTGCATTAAACGAAGCATCAAAGCAAAGGTATGTATGTCTGTACCCATTACAGGTGCTGCGCTGCAGTGGTTTGTATCATATCTATCTAATAGACTCCAGTTTGTGCATGTAAATGGAGAGTCCTCTTCACACACTGAGGTTAATTATGGAGTTCCACAGGGTTCAGTGCTAGGACCAATTCTGTTTACATTATACATGCTTCCCTTAGGCAGTATCATTAGAAGACATAGCATACATTTACACTGCTATGCTGATGACACCCAGCTCTATCTGTCCATGAAGCCAGATAACACACACCAATGAGTTAAACTGCAGGAATGTCTTAAAGACATAAAGACCTGGATGGCCGCTAACTTTCTGCTTCTTAATTCAGGCTGGACGACTGCAATTCATTATTATCAGGATGTCCAACAATCTCACTGAAAAGCCTTCAGCTAATCCAAAATGCTGCAGCAAGAGTCCTGACAGGGACTAGAAAGAGAGAGCAGATTTCTCCTGTTTTGGCTTCCTGTTAAATCCAGGATTCAAAATCCTGCTCCTCACATACAAGCTCTTAAATAATCAGGCCCCATCTTATCTTAATGACCTTGTAGTACCATATCACCCTATTAGAGCGCTTCGCTCTCGCTCTGCAGGCCTACTTGTTGTTCCTAGAGTATTTAAAAGTAGAATGGGAGGCAGAGCCTTCAGTTTTCAGGCCCCTCTTCTGTGGAACCAGCTTCCAGTTTGGATTCAGGAGACAGACACTATCTCTACTTTCAAGATTAGGCTTCAAACTTTCCTTTTTGCTAAAGCATATAGTTAGGGCTGGACCAGGTGACCCTGAATCCTCCCTTAGTTATGCTGCAATAGACGTAGGCTGCTGGGGGATTCCCATGATGCATTGGGTGTTTCTTCTTCACTCACTGTGTGTTAACAGACCTCTCTGCATTGAATCATTAGTTATTAATCTCTGCCTCTCTTCCACAGCATGTCTTTGTCCTGTCTTCCTCTCCTCACTCCTCACTGGTCTGCAGATGGCCCCGCCCCTCCCTGAGCCTGGTTCTGCTGGAGCTTTCTTCCTGTTAAAAGGGAGTTTTTCCTTCCCACTGTCGCCAAAGTGCTTGCTCAGGGGGTCATATGATTGTTGGGTTTTTCTCTGTATCTACTGTACAATATAAAGCGCCTTGAGGCGACTTTTGTTGTGATTTGGCGCTGTATAAATAAAAGGGAATTAAATTGAATTGAAGAAGGGCTCTAAAAAGATTTAAGAACTTGGAGGCCCCTAACATTCATTCACCAGCATGGTCACAGGGCGTCATCTGATTGCTGGAGTTTTTTCTGCACTACTGTAGAGTCTTTGCCTTACAGTATAAAGTGTCTTGATGCGGTTGCTGTTATTTAGCGCCATATACATTGAACTGAAATTAAAAATTGCTCTTTTGATCGTCTTATGTGTCCATTTTGGCGCTGGTTGATTATATTGATACCACTGTAACTCACACTGTGGATTTATTTTGCCCGAAAAATCGCTACAGAACAAACGTCACAGACTCACCTGTCCTGTGCAGCTTGATTTGGGGTTTCCAGGTGATATCCAGCAGTCTGCGCTGACGGTCGATCTCTTCCTCGTACTGGACGATCGTTTTTTCAAACTCCAAGAATATTTGTTCAGCAGCAGCAGTTAGTCGCTCGTTGATGAACTCTCTCAGATACTGAACTGAAGGCATCGTTGCTGCCGCAGCTCACACACTCAGCTCACACACTCAGCTCACACACAACACAACACGACACAACCGACCTCCTGCTGAAAAAAAGATTAGCGCCTCTCCCCCGTTTACTTCCGCCTGGTGCCACACGGTGAAGTTCCGGCAGAAGAGGAGAGTTGCCTTTTCGTTCCGCTTCGTAATGCTCGAACGTGTCTGTTTCTCTTGATCCCCAAACACTTTTATAACCACCATAAGTTTTCAGTTTCTGTTTTTCTCCGTTGCTGTGAGGGTCCATGCAGAGTGTATCCGGTCAAATTTCCACCAAAATCAGAAATAAATAAATAAACCAGCAGAGAGTTAGAGACCACAATCAAATTAGCTAAAATTCCACTGGTACTGAACGAGTTATTTCTGCTCATTATAAAGGAGAAAAGTAAAAAAAATAAAAGTCAGCCTGTTTATTGTATTTTGCTTTTATCTGTGTTTTTTACTTCAGAGGCAGCAGCAGGATCTATGACTGCTGTGCTTCTCTGACTGGGTGGACTGGGGTTTTCTGAGGGTCCCGGATGATCTCCATCACCTTGCTGTTTTCATTTGTTGGAAATTAAAGTTTTGAAATAAACTCTGCCTGAATTAATTATCCAGTTGTTCATTATATTTGTTCATTAAGTGGGTCACAGATGGTACTATTGTTTCCATCCAGGTTTCTAAAAACCTTATCAGTGAGCTGCTGATTAAAGGAGCTGATGATGTGATTTTTAGCCTTTGAAAAATGAAAATGATAAGTTTGTGATGACCACATCTTTAAAGTCCTAGGACCTGGCGTCCACATATGTGGACATCACATTTTGGGTTATTTAAACCAAAATACTCAATTTTGCTCTACAAGGGCCTGATATCCACTTACGAGGACGTTATACTGCCACTGTTCTATCGACATTTTAAACAAATATCCTCATATGTGGCTCTGATTTTTCTTAGAAACAAAAACCAGGTTTAAAAAAATCTGGTAATTCTTTGTTTTTACATTCATCAGGTCCCAATCAGCCCAAATATCAAAGAGAAATTAAAAATGCTGCTGTGGAAGAGTTCGGGTCTTAGGAGGTTAAAGTCCTTCACATTTAATAAAACAAACAACATAGAAGAGCTGAGCTTCAGTAAATGAAACATGAATGAAAATGAAACACAAAGAATGTTATGGAACCAGGTATGGCGCGAGGCAGAAACATCCCATTGTGTAGGTTCAGACTTTTTAACTAACAGATGTCAGCGTGTGAGAGTAAACGGCTGTTTTTCCAATCAGCTGAATTCTTCTGGTTCACCACAGGGATGTTGTCTCTCTCCCCTACTGTATATTTTGTACACCAATGACTGTCGGAGTACACAGCCTAACAGGCATTTCATTAAATATGTGGATGACACAGTCATGGTGAAGAATATTCCCATAGGCCTGTTGTGGATGAGTTTGTTTCTTGGTGCGATCGGTCATTCTTAAAGATCAACACCTTGAAAACTGAGGACCTGGTAACTGACTCCAGGAGGACATCCCCCCATCCTGCACTAACAGTAGTAAACAGTGCAGCCATTGAACTGGTGGACAGTTGGAAGTAAGTTTGTTCTCGATCATGCTCTGTCCTTTGAGTCACATCTTGATGCTACAGTGAAAAAGATCCAACAACAGCTGCACGTTTTAAGGAGATTGAAAGTTTTTAATGTTTCATGTGAAATGATGAACCTTTTTTTAAATAAAGGTTTGATTGAATCTGTTTTACTGTTTTGTATCATTGCTTGGTTTGGTGATCAGACTTGGTAACTTGGTTACAATATTTAAGTGCATATTAGAAGTCATTGTCCATTTGGCCCAGCTGGTTCCATTTTCTATTTTTCTTTTATGATTAAAAAGACAAATTAGGAAGATTTTTTTTTTTAAATTTCTTTGATGGACATTTGAACCGACAGGCGTCACACGCTGTTTCACCACAGAGTTTAATCCTTCAGTCAATTCAAATCTACCAGCTTGTTTGCAAATCTGCTGCTCCACACACACAAATACAAATAACTTATTTTACTTTTTATTGCTAGTTTTTAAGTCTCTCTTCATGTATTGTGTTGTAATTCCTGTGTACTGGCTTTGTGAAACATGGATTCATAATGTTAAAGGCATGCTAAACAATAAACCATATATATGTGTGTGTGTGTGTATATATATATATATACACACACACACACACACACACACACACACACACACACACATATAAAAACCAGGAGTCAGGTTCTGGAAATTCTTCTGGTGTCTCCACATTTATAGCTCATCTAATCTGGAAACATATCTGACTCTGAGTCTCACTTTTAGCTCAGTGATGGAGAACATTTGGCTCGTTGTGCACACAGTGCAAAGTGCTCCATCCTCCCTCCTCACAGTGATTCAAATGCTGCTAACAGTCTGTGAACCAGGAGGAAGAGGAAGTGAGAGAAGTCAGACTCAAAGAGGAGACAGAGGGCGACATCATCCAGTAGGCGGGGCTCTCCTTCTGCACTGTGTTCAACCATTGTGTCAATAATAAGTGCTGCTGTGAAGAGAACAATTCTCAGACTGAATGTTGAACATCAGCTAGTTTCTCCTGTTGATTTAAACCTTGTTGTACAGATGGAACATTGGCTGTGGATTATTCTTGCTGCTCTTTTCTTTGGTGAGATACAAACATCAACATGTTTCCTCTGCTTAAATAAATGTGTGAGTCTGATTAATGGTGAGTTTTTAATCATGTTTATTGATCCATGTCTTCCTCTGCATGTTCTGTTCTTCCTCAGAGTGTAAAGGAGAAGACAAAGTGATCCAGGAACAAGGAGATGTCATTGCTGCTGAAGGAGACACAGTTACACTTTACTGCAAATACGAAACAACTTCTGCATATGCATATTTGTTCTGGTACAAACAGGACGTGAACGACTATCCGAAATATGTTTTACGGCGAGATGCTTCTGGAACTGAAAACGCTCAAGAGTTCCCGAAGGACAGATTTGATGCTGAACTCAACAAGACATCAGTTTCTCTGAAGATCCAGAAGCTTCAGCTGTCTGACTCTGCTGTGTACTACTGTGCTCTGCAGCCCACAGTGACAGGAAACAGCAAAACTCTGTACAAAAACCTTTGGAGCAAAGACAACAGAATACTCCACAACATCCACTAGAGGGAGCCACACACTGTTAAACCTCTGATTCTTGTGTCATTGGACTGATGACAAAGACAACAGAGAAATGAAGCAGTAAAGATCAGAGACAGAGACAGAGGAAGCACAAAACTATTCGAATAAAAAACCCTTTATTTATAACAAAATGTTTCTAACAGCTTTGAACATCTACAGTTTGTTCATGTCTCCTTTAAAACTCAAACAGTTAAAAAAAAAAGAAGAAAAAGGAAAAATTAAAGCTGTTTTAAAGAAATTAAATTCTTTGACACTTTCAACGCTCCAAAATCTGAACCCACAATTCACAAATAACCACGAGACGGAAAAACAAGAACACACATTTCTATCAGTGAGAGATTGTCTCATACCTGCTGGTTTAAATGACACTCAGACGCACACAGAAACCAAAGTAACGATGAAAAGGTTTGTGTGACTGTTACAGCTGCTGTTCGAAAACTGCAGATGGATGACACCAGGTGAAAAACTACTTCTCCACTTCAATATTTACACCACCATTATAAATTTAAAATGTCAGAAAATGATCCAAAAGCTGCTGGAGAAAATCACTGAAAACGTGTTGAACGTACAAATAACTGGAATCTCTGAGAGGTCGATATAATGCTATTAGAAAAGTTAAAGTCCTTTTCCAGAGTGTCAAAGAAATCTCCCAAAACAAGAAATTAGGATAAAAAAAATGAAAGAACAAAATCACAGGATGCGCACCGAGGCAGATCCAGAACAATTACACCTCTCGCCTGACTTGGGAATACCTGAGTGTTCCCCCGAAGGAGGTCTGAGCTTCTCTGCTCAGGCTACTGTCCCAAACCCAGCAGCAGAAGATGGATGAACTCAGTCCTGCTGGTCAGTCAGACAGGTTCTCAGTGCATCCAACCAACCACAGCAAGAAGACTTTAAACATGGCTTTCTCCAAAAGGAAAAGGAATCTAACATGTAATATATTCTAAAAGACGCGTTATGTTTTCATTAGGGCAGTGGTTCTTAAAATGTGGTATGCGTACCACTGGTGACACATGTTAAAAACACAACAGCCTTAATAAATGCAGAGTAGTTTGTTCATACGTCATCACTTAAAGGTTGGATATCCCACCTGCTGAGAATGTTTTAATGCAGTACAGTTGTTATTGTCACCTGTCACATCCTGTTTATGACAGTTCTAATAAATAACATTCATATAAGAAACTGCATGTGGTGTTTAATAGGTGTATACTACTGTACTCTAATGTTGGTCAAAGGCTGGTAATTTAAGAGCCATATATTTTATGTGGTGGTACTCACTGTGAAAAGAAACCCTGCATTAGAGAAACAAAGCTTCATCGCAGAACGGAAAATCAAAATCAAATGAAGAACACAGTTTTACACGTGACAACATCAAAATAGTTGCTGGTAGATACTTGTTTTCTCCACAAAACTTTCAGCACTGCAGCTTCTGCTGGTTGTGTGTTTTCATGTGAAACAACAAATGATGACTCTGGCGGAACATTTTCCCACAGGTTTTACAGTGATACGGCTTCTCTCCCGTGTGGATCGCATTGTGGCTTTTTAGCGATGTTGACAGAGTAAATCTTTCCCCGCAGGTCTCGCAAACATACGGTTTCTCTCCTGTGTGCGTTCTCATGTGGCGCAGCAGGTTACTGCGTTTAATGAACGTTTTCCCACATGACTGGCAAGAATGAGGCCTCTCTCCTGTGTGGATCACTTTGTGTAATTTAAGTGACGATGATTCGGAAAAACATTTCCCACAGTGATCGCACTGGTGCGGCTTCTCTCCTCTGTGGCTTCGCATGTGGCCCAACAAATGACTACTCTGACTGAAAGTCTTTTCACACATTGTGCAGGAATACGGCCTCTCACCGGTGTGGATTCTCAGGTGGATCATCAGATTCCCGCGTTGCCTAAAAGTTTTGCCACATATGTGGCAGGAAAACAACCTCTCTCCTGTGTGGACAGTCATGTGGCGCAGCAAAGTGCTCTTCTGAGCAAAACTTTTCTCACATGTATTACAGGTGAATGGTTTCTCACCTGTGTGGATTTTGTAATGCTCCTTCATTTGGCACTTTTTCTTAAAAGACTTTCCACAAATGTCACACTGGAGAGATTTTCGACCCGTGTCAGTGTTACACCGACTCGCTGATGGTGGGAATTCTTCAGAATTGTTGCTCTGACTTCTGTTTACATGAAGTTTTGACTCTGGATTTCCAGAGTCTGAATCGCCCTTCTTCCCTCCTTCCTGATCTCGGCTCTCAGCTGCAGCAGAGCCGTGAGTGAGGAGCTGGTCACGGTTTGCTTCTGATTCACTGTGGTCACTTTTGCTGTGAGCAGGAGTCACCGTAGAAGTTTTCGTCTCTGTCACTACGGACTGCTCTCCCTCCTGACTGCTGCAGAGTTTGTTCTGTTCCTCTGTGCGCTGTGGAGGTTCTGGTTCCCCCTGGTCCAATCTGGAGCTCCTGTCCTGGTTCCTGAGCTGCTGCTGTGGGAGGTCTGCAGGGACAATAGGAGCCCAGAAAAAGAAAAGCAGTGAAATACATTGTTCCTTTAATCATGTTCGGGGTAATGAACATGCTGTATCATCTTTAGGTGGAAACTAGCGAGCTAACTCCCTGCTAACTTCGAACTTGGTTAAACTTCATAAATTCTGTTTTCGTGGATGCCTGAATGTTAAACTTAACTGTTACAGCTGATAGAGCAGCCACACTGATTATTTTATTAAAGATTAAAGGATTTAGACAGTTTGTAACTCTGTGACGCCGCAGTGATCGTTTGACCCGGAAGACAGCTACAGTCTGACTGGAATCACTCTACAAGAGATTGTTGAAGGTCTCAAATAACTGCTGTCTATTTTATCAATGCAGACTAACAGCTAACACGTCTCCACCAGTTTAAATGAGGCTTTGTTGGTGGATTTATTCTGTTTATATTCTGAAAGAACAGGAAGGTTACTGAGTGCAAATGTAATCCGGTCTTTAAGTCTGACGTCACCAGCCGTGTCTGTGCTCAAACTGCGCTGCAGGTCCATAAATCAAACGATCACTGAGAGTTACAACTCTCATTGTAACTCTCACTGACGTCATATATACACATCTTACTATATGTACTAGAGCTTTTCTATATTTTCATCCTGTGTCGCGCCAACTGTAATGAAACTGTGTGCCTTGTACACTTGCTGTACACTGAATGACAACAAAAGCATGTCTTTAAGCACCAAGCCAACAACATTAACCAAACAACACTCGTAGGTTTGCAGCTGACATGGATCCACTCGTTTTATACATACTTTGAGTCTAATGCTGAAACTCTTTAATTATAACAATACTTCATGGTATTTCTCTCTGAAAAATAACTGCAGCTGCATCATAAATTGTGTAACAGGGCTCTGATTAGGACCAGACCATCAGAGTGAGACTCACCTGTTCTGTGCACATCTGTCTCAGCACTGGTGGTGACGTCCAGCTCTCTGGGCTGATGGCTGATGTCTTTCCCGATCTGGGTAGAATTATTTAAAACTTTGAATGCTTCTCTGGATTCAGTCCCAACAAACACACTGGAGTCAGAGTGAGTGGCGTTACTGAGGTCACTTTCCTCGTAAGTAGCAGTCACCGTAAAGGTATCCGTCTCCTCCTCCAGTCCCAGCTGCTCTCCCTCCTGACTGCTGCACAGTTCCTCCTGTTGCTCTTTAATCTGTGGAGGTTCTGGTTCCCCCTGGTCCAATCTGGAGCTCCTGTCCTGGTTCCTGAGCTGCTGCTGTGGGAGGTCTGCAGGGACAATAGGAGCCCAGAAAAAGAAAAGCAGTGAAATACATTGTTCCTTTAATCATGTTCGGGGTAATGAACATGCTGTATCATCTTTAGGTGGAAACTAGCGAGCTAACTCCCTGCTAACTTCGAACTCGGTTAAACTTCATAAATTCTGTTTTCGTGGATGCCTGAATGTTAAACTTAACTGTTACAGCTGATAGAGCAGCCACACTGATTTTTTCTTAAAGATTAAAGGATTTAAGATAAGATAAGATAGAACTTTATTAATCCCTCGGGTGGGTTCCTCTGGGAAATTCGACTTCCAAAAAGCACAGCAACGACCGAAGTTACAGTTACAGAATTGTTTTATATATATATATATATATATATATATATATATATACATATACATATATATATATATATATATATATATATATATATACATATACATATACATATATATATATATATATATATATATATATATATATATATATATACACACACACACACACACACACACACACACACACACATATAAATACAGAGACAAATATAAATAAAATATACAAAGGGGATAAATAGAATAAATAGGAATAAAAAATAAAAATACAAGTGAATTGCACATTTCAAGTATTGAGTCTATTGCACTGTTGACTATTTACAAAAAGTATTGCACAAGGTATTGTACAGTGAGGTGAAGAGGCACTACAGCTTAGTTGTTCCCCCCTCCTTTGTCCTCCTGTTTCCCCTCCCTCTCCCCTCCAGAGAGGAGTTAAACAGTCTGATGGCGTGTGGGACAAAGGAGTTTTTAAGTCTGTTAGTTCTTGTCTTTGGGAGAAGCAACCTGTCACTGAACAGACTCTTCTGGTTGTTTATGGCCGTGTGCAGAGGATGCCCAGCATTGTTCATAATGTCCAGCAGCTTCTTTAATGTCCTTTTCTCTGCCACTGTCACCAGAGTGTCCAGCTTCATGCCGACCACAGAGCTAGCCCTCCTGATCAGTTTCTCCAGCCTGGATGAGTCCCTCTTTGCTGTGCTGCTCCCCCAGCACACCACAGCATAGAAAAGTACTCCAGCAACCACCGACTGGTAAAACATCCTCAGGAGCTTCCTGCAGATGTTAAAAGACCTCAGCCTCCTGAGGAAGTACAGTCGGCTTTGGGCTTTTTTATACAGGTGCTCTGTGTTGCATGACCAGTCCAGTTTATTGTCCATCCACAGCCCGAGGTACTTGTACTTGTTGACCACCTCTACCTCCTCCCCCTCTATCTGAACCGGCAGTGGACCTTCTCTGGACCTCCCGATTTAGACAGTTTGTAACTCTGTGACGCCGCAGTGATCGTTTGACCCGAAAGACAGCTACAGTCTGACTGGAATCACTCTACAAGAGATTGTTGAAGGTCTCAAATAACTGCTGTCTATTTTATCAATGCAGACTAACAGCTAACACGTCTCCACCAGTTTAAATGAGGCTTTGTTGGTGGATTTATTCTGTTTATATTCTGAAAGAACAGGAAGGTTACTGAGTGCAAATGTAATCCGGTCTTTAAGTCTGACGTCACCAGCCGTGTCTGCGCTCAAACTGCGCTGCAGGTCCATAAATCAAACGATCACTGAGAGTTACAACTCTCATTGTAACTCTCAGTGACGTCATATATACACATCTTACTATATGTACTAGAGCTTTTCTATATTTTCATCCTGTGTCGCGCCAACTGTAATGAAACTGTGTGCCTTGTACACTTGCTGTACACTGAATGACAACAAAAGCATGTCTTTAAGCACCAAGCCAACAACATTAACCAAACAACACTCGTAGGTTTGCAGCTGACATGGATCCACTCGTTTTATACATACTTTGAGTCTAATGCTGAAACTCTTTAATTATAACAATACTTCATGGTATTTCTCTCTGAAAAATAACTGCAGCTGCATCATAAATTGTGTAACAGGGCTCTGATTAGGACCAGACCATCAGAGTGAGACTCACCTGTTCTGTGCACATCTGTCTCAGCACTGGTGGTGACGTCCAGCTCTCTGGGCTGATGGCTGATGTCTTTCTCGATCTGGGTAGAATTATTTAAAACTTTGAATGCTTCTCTGGATTCAGTCCCAACAAACACACTGGAGTCAGAGTGAGTGGCGTTACTGAGGTCACTTTCCTCGTAAGTAGCAGTCACCGTAAAGGTATCCGTCTCCTCCTCCAGTCCCAGCTGCTCTCCCTCCTGACTGCTGCACAGTTCCTCCTGTTGCTCTTTAATCTGTGGAGGTTCTGGTTCCTCCTGCTCCACACTGGAGCTCCTCTCCTGGTCCCAGAGCTGCTGCTCAGGGAGAACCTCCTCCTCTCTGCAGAGGAGTCGCAGTGGGAGGTCTGGAAGTAGAAAAGGACACAAAAAAGAAATAAATAATATTATAAAAAGGCAAATACTCCGACACACACAAGCTTTCAAAGTTACTACACGGAGAAAAGCCAAAACAGAGAATACACGCGTGCTGAAAAAAGGCCTCTGAGTCGCTTATAGTGTGTCTATACTGCACAATGTACACATGTGGATAACACGGGTCGGTTATGTAGAAGAAGAAGAGGAATTCTGGAGTAAGTTGGATGAAGCAGTACTGAGTGTCTGCAGGGGGAGAGAGAGTTCAACAAACATGTAAGTGAAGGGAGGAGAGGTGATGAGGAGGCGCTGGGTAGGAGTGCCTTTAAAGAAAGGATAGAAAAGGTTGTGTTGAACTTTAACAAGAGGGAGGAACACAGAGGGATGTATGAGACTGCAGGAAGGTGCACACAGGTGAACTCCATCTTATACAGAAGGTGAAATCTGAAGGAGACATAGCTGGGGGCATCAGATGGAAGTCTGCAAGATAACTTTGGAAATCAATAAGAGGAAGTGAGAGAAGACAGAGGAAGGGAATAAATGGTGGAAGCTGCTCCGAGCTCAGGAGGAGCTGAGACGGACTCCGAGTGGCAGGGAAGAGTTCCCAGACGACTGGAAAGCACAGCTGACATGCTGAGGGAAACTCTCAGGAAGGGTTTGTGTATAGTACATATTGTGTATCTGTACAGAGGAGAGAGAAGGAGGAGGTTTGCTGGAAAGAGGGAAAATTTCTCCTGGAGCAAATATTCCGTCATACCAGAAAGTGTTTTGGAAAAGAGAGCGAAAAGGTCATGTGTTCTCCTGTGTGGACGGAGCAGGAAGGAGGCGCTGTTGTTGTCTCAGCTAAATGAGTGAGTGTGTCAGTACATACGATTAAAACTTAAGCACCAATGTCTTTAAAACAAACCCCAAAACACAGCCACTGATGTACAACACAGAACAGAGAAACTCCTTCTGATTGGTCAGCATTTACGTCACAGACACAAACTGTGATTGGACACTTTGAGTGCATCCAACAATCCACAGCAGAAACACACTGACTGTGATCCAGGGCAGCACGGTGCTGTGGTGGGTAGCACTGTTGCCTCACAGCAAGACGCTCCTGAGTTTGAATCCACCCCCTGCTCACGGCCCTGTGTGGAGTTAGCATGTTCTCCCCGTGTTTGAGTGGGTTCTCTGGATCCCTCCCAGTCCAAACACGTGCACTTAGTGGGGTTAGGTTAACTGGTGATGCTAAACGGCCTGCCCAGGGTGTACCTCTCCTGTGGTAGCTGGGATACGAATGAAATGAATGAAACTCTCCTGCTTCATAATGACGACACAGTCCGGACAAAGAGCAACCAGAAGCTTTTCTACAACTTTACACGACAAAGAGTTGAGCTGACAGACCTCAGCAGAAAAGCAGACACGCGGTTAAAACTGGGCTTCTTTGTTTTTTCTCTCATATGCGGATTAAATGCGTAGTTAAACTTTCCAGGGGCAGGAGGACGCTCACCGGTCCGGTGTTCCAGATCTACTGGCGTTTAGATCAACTGGCGTTGGTCGAACAGATGTGTGGCAGTCTTGCGTTTCAGGAGCTGCTACCGACAAACCAGCAAAAAAACGCCAAATGTGTCACCTGTGACACTTGTGAGGTTGTCTCAAACACACTCCGTCAGTCTTGATGCTGTTGAACAACAAAATGTTTAAAATGTGGCGAGTTTACCTGGTGATATCCTCACGCGCGACGCGATCGCGAAAACAGCAAACAAGTAACACCACGCCGATGTTGTTCACAGGACAGCAAGAGTAAACGATCGGGAGACTCTAGTCGTCGTTATCGTTCCCCTCGCACGGTTTGTTTCTCTGGTTTCAGCGTTTTTGCTTCACAACTACAGCGAGCAGTTTACTTTGTGCACTAACATGGACTCGAGTCAACCAGCGTGGCGCTGTAGTGCCACAGCCTACAGCCAGATCAGCCTGTGACACACATCTGCACCACGTTTGAATTCGTGTCATGCACATTTGTACCTTTCAATTGTGTCTGTTTGTGCGTCATGCAAATAAACCTTTGAAATGAATGAAATGACACTAATATTTCACTAGTGTTGTAACATCACATGTCGTTAGCGTAGTCTGTCTGTGTCTTTTCTCTGCGAACAAACATGTTAGAGTTGGTTGTGATATACAGTCTGTATAAGTGTGGTCAATCTAATAAACATTTGTAAGGAGATGGCAGTTACTGTGAATGTACAGCAGGTGATTAGTAATAAACAGTCAGACAATGACTCTGACAATCTCATTCAATCTTGCAGACTGAATGCACCTTCTGTGGAAAGTGGTACCACACAGTGTGTGTGGATGTCCCCTGTGCAGAAGGCGACTACAAATGTTGTGGGTGCTAAATAAACAGAAACAAATGATCCCTGTTGTCTTTGCTTACTGATTGTTTTCAGTGTTGACAATCCACATTGCTGGCATTGCATCTTTCAACATGTTTGTGGGTAGATCTGGATGTACCAGGGGTAAGTGCAGCCACTCAGCCTCTACTCATCATAGCAGCAGGTGCAGATGTGTCACAAGTTAATCTAGTAGTGGGCTATGGTAGCAGTGGACTGACCTCCATTTGAAACTGCTCCAGCTGCTGTGTGATAGTGGATCTGCTACAAATTGAAGATCATAAGCAAGTTTTGGAAATGAACCCTTGTATTATGTTGAAGAACAAAAAAGTGACATTGATTTTGTTGCGGTCATTTTGACCCGTACTGTGTAAATCCACTCAGAATTATCCAAAAACTGCAATAAAACAATAGCAACTTTATTTCCCATTAGATAAACATGTAGAACACAGACATACAACAGTTAGACTTTCCATAACTATTTTAGGAACAGTTTGGTTTTTCGTTCTTACAAACACATTTCTGTTGAACTTGCCCAACGTTCTCAGTTTTTCAATGCTCAACATTTTCAATTTTGTCCACATGATGGACAGAATGTAACTGTGTGCTTTCTGCAGATGTGCTTCTTGCATTTCTCACAAAACGTGCTTGTTTTCAAACAGGAATCTTCCTAACTAAGATTTAAAACAAAAGATTTCTACGTCTCCTCCAGTCTCACAAACAGATGACAAACCAAGCGACACACCTGAGTCACTGACTTTCTTAAATCCACTCACTCTCACTGGCTGTTTATTACTAATCACTGTGTAACTGCTGTGAATTCACAGTAACTGCCGTCTCCTTACAAATCTCCATTAGCTTAACCACACTTATACAGACTGTATATAACTCCAGCCATGTTGATGGGTTGCCTATATTGGCTGGAAATATTCATTTCCAGGTAAAAGACACAGGCAGACGATGCTTACAGGATGTGATGTGACAACACTAATGAAATATTGATGTGTCATATTTGTCCAAGGCGTATTTCATTGTTATGGAAAAAGAGAATATCAAAATCATGATGACCAATTGGAGTGGTGATTTCTATGACTTTGTGTATATAATTTGGAATTTTGTACAAATGTAGGCCAATAAGGAATATATGATATCATTTCATTCTTTTCAAAGGTTTGTTTGCATGACGCACAAACAGACACAATTGAAAGGTACAAATGTGCATGACACGAATTCAAACGTGGTGCAGATGTGTGTCACAGGCTGATCTGGCTGTAGGCTGTGGCACTACAGCGCCACGCTGGTTGACTCGAGTCCATGTTAGTGCACAAAGTAAACTGCTCGCTGTAGTTGTGAAGCAAAAACGCTGAAACCGGAGAAACAAACCGTGCGAGGGGAACGATAACGACGACAAGAGTCTCCCGATCGTTGACTCTTGCTGTCCTGTGAACAGCAGGAGTATTACTTGTATTACTTGTTTGCTGTTTTCGCGATCGCGTCGCGCGTGAGGATATCACCAGGTAAACTCGCCACATTTTAAACATTTTGTTGTTCAACAGCATCAAGACTGACGGAGTGTGTTTGAGACAACCTCACAAGTGTCACAGGTGACACATTTGGTGTTTTTTTGCTGGTTTGTCGGTAGCAGCTCCTGAAACACAAGACTGCCACACATCTGTTCGACCAACGCCAGTTGATCTAAACGCCAGTAGATCTGGAACACCGGCCCACTGAAGGTCAAAGTGCGCTGTTTGTGGTCCACGGAAGAACATCGGTTTGTGTGACTAAATCCAGCCCACCAGAGGGACACTCACCTGTCCTGTGCAGCTTGATTTGGGGTTTCCAGGTGATATCCAGCAGTCTGCGCTGACGGTCGATCTCTTCCTCGTACTGGACGATCGTTTTTTCAAACTCCAAGAATATTTGTTCAGCAGCAGCAGTTAGTCGCTCGTTGATGAACTCTCTCAGATACTGAACTGAAGGCATCGTTGCTGCCGCGGCTCACACACAACTATACACTCTGCTACCTTCGAACTTTACTGACCCCGACACCTGTGGAAAGTTAAGGCTACTTCAGCTTTTTCCTGTTTACTTCCGCCTGGTGTCACATAGGGAAGTTCCGGCGGTGGAGGGCGGCTAACTTTCGTTCCGCTGTTGTCACATCGCTCTCACAGAAAACTTCATGTTTGATCTGAACAGTGATTTCAGTCACAAAGTGACGACACAGCAGACGGACCCACAAATCTCACCAGCAGGTCTGCCTTCGTGGTTCCTCCGGGTTCAGTGACCGTTTTACCCACAACACAAACCGTTACCATGACTACCATGAATAGATGTCCAGCCCTCTATTTTAAAGTTTGGCATTAAATTATTTTTGGGTCTGTTTGGCTGAAATAATGTTATAATTCACTAATACTGGTTTTTGCACGACTCCAATCAGTGACAACACTCACATATAAATACATCTGTCTGCTTGCTTTCTTTGCTTAGTAGTAGTAGTAATAATAATAATAATAATAATAATAATAATAATAATGACATTATTGTACATGTCTTGATGCATTCTCCCTGCCATCACCACTGATCAATGGTGAAGACTGTTTGCATATTAATGATCATGAAACTGACCTCACAGCTCGTTGCTGGTCAAATTCAAATTTAAATTCAAATTCAAATTTTATTTGTCACGTACACAGTCATACACAGTACGATATGTAGTGAAATGCTTAGACAACTGATCGTGACCTAAAGAAAATAAAAGGAAAAGGCTATGAATAAGATAGGAAATAAATATGAAAAATTAAAAAGGGTAAATTTAACTAGGAAGGAATAAAATATAAATTAAGGTTAAAAATGAAATAACTGTACAACACAAATTAGAATGAAGGGTAAATTTAACTGGGAAAGAATAAGATAAAGATAAATATATAAATTAAAGTTAAATAAAATAACTGTACAACAAAATACACAATATAGAACTATATAAGAATGTATGAAGAAATATAAATAAATATATACACAATAACAGCAGCTGTACAAGTATTAACTGGAAATGAAGAATATAGTGACCAGTGTTGTGCAATCCACATTATGTCTTGTGCAGTGCAAATATGCTTAAAGTGATTTAAGTGATGAAGTGAAACAAAGTCCAGAAAGTCCAGTGTGTGTAAGAACCGTATGTGTGGGTCAGGACTGTGTGGTGGTGTGATTGAGAGACCGTATTGCCTGCAGGAAGAAGCTCCTCCTCAGTCTCTCTGTGTTGGTCTTCAGGGAGCGGAATCGCTTTCCTGACGCTGCTGGTGTCAGTCGCTGTGCAAAGGTACAGTTTATTGGCTGGAAGCCTGCAGTCAGCTAAGACTGAACGAGTTACCTGAATTAGTGACAAAACTTTTCTCCCACTGAAACACTTCCTGGGGTCATTGTTATACAGCTTTTTTGTTATTTCTTTATGACTCAAAAACAAAACAAACAAGAAAATAAAGAGTGTGTCTTCAAACTTCACACTGATCTGAACCCAAATAAAGGAAACAATAACAGATAATGAAAATCCTATTGGTGTAATCACTTATCATCAAAGATGGGCAGTAATGCGTTACTGTAATCCGATTACTTTTTTTAAGTAAGGTGGATGTGTAAAGCGCTTTGGGGTCGTTAGGGACTAGTAAAAGCGTTTAAAGCGTGGAAGTACTGACCTTACTTTGAGTTAGATTCTGTAAAAAGTGACAAAAACATTAGCGTCTGCTGTTCACTGTGTGAAAGATCTATCACTTTATCACCTCTTCAGGCTGTAAATCGTGTTTTTAAAAAGTAACTAAGTAATTAATTACTTTTGAAAATAAGTAATCTGTAAAGTAACAGGATTACCTTTTTGGGGAAGTAATCAGTAATTAGTTACTGATTACTTTTTTCAAGTAACTTGACCAAGATTGCTTATCACACAAAAACATGAAACAGGTAAATATTAAATTATATTTTAAAAATGTGTGTTATTTACAGCATAAATTTGATATAAATTTTGAGTCAGGACTTCAGCATCTTGACGAGGAATGAGCATGAAGGGAAGAACATTTTCTAACGTTTCTGCTCAACAAATGTCAGCAAACACTCATGTTTGTGTCTGCCAGATAAAGGTCCAGCTGCTGTGTGATGTGACTGAGAGAAAGATGTAAGAAGGATAGCAGAGGAAGAAGAGAGGTGAGATTAAGGGTAAGGATGCCCAGTAAGATTTGATAAACAAACAAAAAACTATACAAACAATAATGAATGAATGAAACTCGAGCTGTGAGTGATCTTTGATCAGGTTCTCTTTGTTTGAGAGATGCTGTCAGTGTGTTTCTGACTGCGCTGTACCTTCATGATCATCCTAGATCATGAAGTTACAGAGTTTGTCAGCTGTGACGAAACAAAGAAGAGTCCAGTTTAGAGGCAGCACTGTTACTCTCCAGACAAGCTGAGAGCAACAATTCTTCTCGTTTTAACAATATCCAAGAAAACAACCAGAGTTCTTCATCTCTCACTTGGAAGTAGCAAATATAACCACACAAAGAACCAGGAAATCATTATATTTACTGTCAGGTTTAACTAATGAAGAAGCTCCTTTGTGTTTTCTCTTGTCCAGCTGTCATTTCTCATGGTGTACAGGGTCTTAGTCTTGATGCATTCTCATCCACCTAAGTAAATCTCCAAAAGTTGGAGAATTTGCATAATCATGATGGAGCTGACCTCCCCTTCAGTAGCTAATTTCAATGCAAATGTGCTGTTTATAAGGTTGGGGAAACCTGCAGTCAGCTGAGACTGAAGAAGTCACCTGGATGAGTGACGAAACGTTTCTCCAGCTGAAGACGTCCAGATGAACAGAATCAACTTTTGGAGATCAGCCTTAGGTCAGTATCCTCTGATCTGAGGACGTGATGGCTGCAGTTACAGCCACACAGTGGTAATATCCACCAAATATTAGTGTAGAGGCTTATATGTAACACTGCTAACTAGCAGAGCTGCTCTGGGCAGCGTTATGGCACGATAATCTTAAGGGAGAATAAAAAGTCGACACACATATCTCATTCCTGACGGAGGACTCTCCCACTACACTTCTCCAGTCCATTCACAGAGTCGTTGCATGGTAAGACATGGATTGGAAGTGGGCGGAGCCTTTTACCGTCATTTTATTACGGCGCAAAGTACAAACACCTGTGGACACACAATCCAACACCCCCACTTGTACACAGGTTGGGGAAAAACAATCCTCCGGAAAAAACATCTTACATTCCAAACACAAATACAGAGAATTTTTCTAACTTAGACTTTGAAACTGGTTTCGTCATCATATCTGCTACCATTGACTCAGCTGGACAGTAATCAATGAGCACTTTCCTTTCATGTACAGCTGACCTTATAAAATGATATTTCACATCAATGTGTTTACATCTTTGTCTGTTCACTGGATTTTTTGACAAAGCGATTGTTCCCTGATTGTCCTCCAATATCATAGGTATTTCATACTCAAACTCATCAAGATCTTGAATCAAATAAGTCAAATACATACATTCCTGAACTGTTGCTGCTAATGCCATGTATTCGGCTTCACATGTTGATAGTGCTGTAGTTGTCTGCTTTTTGGTTTTCCATGATATCAAAGGACCATTTTCATTTAGGCTTACACAATAACCTGTCATACTGCGTCTATCAGAAACATCGGATGCCCAATCTGCATCACTGTATGCTTGTAGACCTAGTTTTCCACTTGAACATTTCCTAAAACACAGTTCTTTTCCTCGACTACCTTTTAGATACCTCAGAACATGTTTCACTGCTGTCCAATCATCAACAGTTGGCGCATTGAAATGTTGTGACAGTTTGCTGACAACATAGCTTAAATCAGGTCGCGTACAATAGCTCAGATAAATAAGACATCCTACCGCTTCACGATATCTCCTCACATCTGGTAATGTCTCGGATTTATCAGAATGAGTCCATTTCTGTTCACAGGGTGTTAACCTTGGCTTACAGTTTTGCATGTTAAATCTCTTTAAAATGTTCTCAATATATATTTTCTGTGACATTCTGACACATTCTTTTTCTTGAAGAAAATCTATTCCTAGAAAATGGCTAAGTTTCCCCAGATCTTTCATTTGGAATTTAGAAGAGAGCATTTCTTTCACGCCTGAAAGCACATTTTCATTGTTAGCTGCAATGAGTAAATCATCCACCCACACTATGATGATTACTTTTTCACTTTCAGTTTCTTTTGAATACACACAATGATCAGCAATATTTTGTCTAAATCCACAACTGCTTAAATAGTCATGTAAGGTTTGGTTCCAGTTACGACCCGATTGCTTCAGCCCATAAAGTGATTTCTTTAGTCTGTACACCAGTTTATTAGTCTCACTTGATTCTGTCTCAAAACCTTCTGGTTGTTGTATATATATTTCTTCATTTATTGGTGCGTGTAGATAGGCGGTTTTTACATCCATCTGGTGAACCAACATATCATCCTGAACCACTTTCTGCATCAAAACTCTCACACTCGATAAGTTAGCAGTCGGTGAAAAAGTCTCCTCATAATCAACTCCTTTTGTTTGACTAAAACCTTTAGCCACAAATCGAGCTTTATATCTGTCTGATCCGTCTGAGTTCTTTTTAACGGCATAAACCCATTTACCCCCCACTGCTTTCTTACCCTCTGGTAAAGTGGTTAAAGTAAATGTGTCATTCTCCTTAAGGGATTGGATTTCTTCATTCATCGCTCTTTCCCATTCTTTTGACTCACTTGACACAATAGCTTCGCTAAATGATGTGGGTATTTCACACAACAATCTGTAGCAATAATCAACACTGGTTTGCATCTGTTCATTTTCACACTCTTTCACATCCGTGATATAATCACTCAAATAATCAGGTCTCTTTCTGATTCTGGATGGATAACGTGTAGCTCCAGCATCTACTTTATCATCAGTTTTAACCTCGGACTCAGTTTGACTGCTTTCACTACCATCTGGAATATCCTCATCCTTAGTCTGTTTGGGTTCACCATCTTTTCTGGATTCATAAACCTCATCTTCATACATCTGATCACTCTGTGTTTGTTGATCCATTGTCGCCGGATTTAGTATTTTTATCAATCTGTGCTTTTCAACTTTCCCAGTTTTTGGGAAATAGATCAAATATGCTGGACTATTTTTGTCATATCCCAAGAAAACACCTTTGTCGCATCTTGGATCCAGCTTTCCCCTATTTTGTTTATAAGCATAGCACAATGATCCGAATTTTTTCATTCTAGAAAGATCAGGTCTTTTTCCAGTTAACATCTTATACG